GCATAAAATCCAGCAAGAAGCAGGAAGAGACAGATAGAAAGCATGTGGATAAATATCCTGTGTTACTGGGGTGAAATAAAGGAAAAGAGTGCCTGCAAGTATTCAATTAATTGAGATTTAAGATGCCACCCGGCAGCCTTGTTCTCTGTCACCTGGCAAAGGCAGATGGCATCAGTGCTGCCTGTGGGCAAAGTGTGCCCAAAGCCAGGGACATACTCAAAGATACACAGCACGACCTCGGTGAAACACTTTGCTCCCCATAGCACAGGGCTGTGTGAAAGCAGCCAACATCACAGCAGACATCACAGGATGAGCAGGACTGGTAGCCTTTAAAGCATTCCTAATGGAAAATGGTGTCTGATGAAGACATCATCATTTTGGCATGGCATCACAGAAAATTTGCTACAGGCAGCCAGCTTACCAGGACAAGCAAAATATCACAGAAGCTTTACTGAATTTTTCTAAGTGTTTGTCAACATCCTCATCCCCATCACCTTTGAAAGGGCCAGCTGAGACCTTGCCTGATTCTAATTTCATAATGAGGGGTATTAGGAATAGCTCTGCCAAGCAAGGTCTCATACCTGGGCAGAGCTGGTAGAGATAAAAGAAACGAGTGATGAGGATAAGGTTTGACAGGGAACAATTCTGAGTTCTAGGAATCTAATTTTGCTTACCAGAATCTCTTCAGCAACAATTTTAGTTGCAGTCTGAGGGGAAAGGAGATGGAGAGGACAAGACAGAAACATTGTATAGAATGAGCAAAACAGTGGGAGAAAAAAGGAGGAGAAAAAACAACCTAAAAGCTATAATAAACAGTAGGACCCAAGGGAGAACAGAAAAAAATGAGATTATTAACAGAGGAAACTGGCTGGCTCCACTGAGCAAATGTTGGTGAACAGAAAAATTAAATTCTGCATGATTAAACAAGGCATTAAACTAGTTGGGGAAAAAAAGAAAAAAACCCAACCAAACCCAACAAAAACCCAATAATCACATGCTGTCAGAAATAAGTCAAGTGGTTTTACTGACTTAAACACTCAACTGGACTAAAAATGCTCTTTTACTAAAGCAACCATAGCAAATGCATGCCTATTGCTGAGAGCACACATTTTAGAAAAATGCACATTTAAGGAGGTATCCTCTGCTGATGCTAATACTTGTCTCTTGATTCAGGCAGCAATTTTAAATGTCTGCAGCCACAGGCAACAGGAACATGCAGAGAAGAACCCCATATGTCTTGGATTTCACCAATCCATATCTTCTGGGCACTTAAAGAATCACCCCTTAAACTTCTCTAGCCATCCAGCTGGGGTCTTCCTAATGAGGTGATGGCAAAGAACATTTTCCCCTAGAAAATGGCAAATAAAATCCAACAAAGGTTATTTTTAAGACCAGCCCAAAACTGGTTGAAAGAACTTTTAGTGCCCCTGGAACTCAGGCAGCTCTCCTAACCCTGAAAGGATTGGCACCACCATGGAGAGATACAGGGAAGCTGTAACCATGCACCACATGTCCCATGTGGAAATGGCAACAACAGTCACTTTGGGAAATTCTGTGAACAATTCCAGGGTCTGGTTCTGCACAAATTCCACTGGCACAAATGTGGGCCAGCTCTGCCAAAGTGGCAGTATTATAACTGAGACTCACAGCTTGAAATCAAACCTTGGCAGAGTACTGGCCCAGATCTGACATAAATCAGCCTCTCAGTTCTTGCTGCTGCTTTGGCACAAGGTGGCTGAGGAAGAGTTGTTGCTACCCCTTCAGCTGGAGTTTGGACCCAATGCATTCCTTCCTGAGTGCTGCCACTCTCAGCACATGCAAAGTCTTGGTGCAAGAAAGCTGCAGCTTGAGAAGAAAGGTTTCAACACACTTAGAACCCTAGAAAAAACAGGATTTTTTCATCTGTGAAGTTCTTTTTAGCATGAGCTGTATGATGTTATGTTGTAGATGCTCTGACACAGGACTAGACAGACAGGAGGGCGCCCTATCAGATGCCAGCTGTGCTCCTGACACAAGCCTTTGCCCTCCCTGGCTCACAGCACAGGCTCATGGCGCTGGTCAGCAGCTGGGAAGACCCTTCCCTCGCTGTCACCAGAGCACTTTCTTTCTCTACTGCTGCAAAGGGCCAGCACCACATCCAGCACAGCTGCAATGGGGAAGCTGGAAGTGTTTGAAGCCCATGACACCCTCCCAGGAAACATGGGCTGGCTGAACACATGGGAGCTGTGAGAGGCACTGCTGAAGGTGCCAGCAATTAGGGCTGCACCAGCTGCCCAGCCAGCATCAGCTGCCTGGCAGGCACCACAGCAGGGCCCCACAAATCAGATTTGCAGGAGTGCCCTGGGGCTGGCTGATTACAAGGGGGTTTTCCCACCAGAGTTGCACAGTATGAAAGTAAACATTTTGAACAGGCAGGAACCTGAAACTGGTGCACAAGCTGAGCAGAAACAGAGCCAGACTGAGTTACATTGCAGGACTCTCCTCTACACCATGGAGAAGTCACAAATGAGATGTGGGCAGTGAACAAGGCCTGAGACTCTTGGTCCTAATGACATCTATCAAGGGAGGTATTGGATGTAGATACAAAACTCGTGTGCCACTGTTCCCCCACAGAAATACAAGAATTCACCTCATTATCAAAGATACTTTGCCTTCAGGGACATGCCTAGCACAATACTTTAATTTTTTCCTTAGATTCAGTGGTACCATTTTTTCCTTAGATTCACTGGCACCTTCCACAATTTATAAATTAGCAATAACAATAAAACAAGGCAGCCATTCCTGGGCTGAACCTCATGCCAGCAAATATGATACTGATCTCTTAGCCCCTTAAAACAAGCATCCTGTATCTCTAGTTCAGACCTGCAAGCTGCAGAGTACCAACCCCGTGCTTGAGGTGTAGGGTCCAGGGGATACTGTGGAAGATGGCCCCCATTCTTTTCTGCCTATAACTACGGTGGGAGACAGGTTGTCTTCACCTCTGCAGTAAGCCAGCTCCCAAATTTAATAAAGGTTTCTCCTTCCAATTGCTTCACCAAATACCAGAGCAACACTTGCTCTTGTAACAAAATGTCACTTGCTTTTCAAGTACAAACTAAATGAGCTTTCCTGAGAAAATAATTGCCAGCTATTAAAAAGCTACTGTTGGAGCTTGAGAGAACTATTAAAATACAAAGAGAAATGTACCACATTCTTCCTGAATTGATACTTCAAACAAAACCTATTTTTGTTTTGAAATGTGGCACTAGAACAATGACCAGTTGCTTTTGTATTTCAGACTGAGAGTCATGCAATCATTTTCTAACAGCAGCATTTCTGTGTTGCTCATGAAAATAGTGGGGGAAAAAAGCCACAGGTCAGTCAGTCTCTGCCTTAGTCAGCAGAGGAGTCTCAATCCATCTCCCATCAAGTCTCTCATCACACTGGGGAATGTCCTGCTCAGGACTAGAGTGGACACATTTGCTTCTGCCAGGGAGTCATCCCCAGGGAAGAGCCCCCATTTTCCTAACTTCCACCTTCTTAGTCCTCATTACAGCCTCAAATCTTACACCAAACAGCAACTTACTGTTGCTGTTTTCTTAAAAGCAGACTTTAAACAAGTATTTTCTCCATAACTGTCAATTCTTCCTCTTGCCCTCTTGAGCGCTACTTGAGATGGAGCACTTTGAAGGATCAGCTTTGTAATATCCACATGCACAGCCAGAATTGCATCAGTACCAGACCAGAACTGCCTCATCTCTCCTACCCCTAGAGCATCCAATTGTGTCAGGCCCATAACCTTGAGAATTCCCTAGAAAGGACAAGGTTGAGGTAGATTTTCTCGAGCCATATTGCACTGAACTTACAGTGCTGTACTGTCCTTTAGTTGGCTTTAAGCATCTGCTCTTTTCTGTCATGACTCTGTTTTGATAAAGGTCTGGATGCAGCACTTCCAGTGCACTCCCATCTCCCAGGAACACGAGGTATTAGAGCAGTTTCATCTTTGCCACAAAACCTTTGCAGCACCTGTTGGCATGAAAGAATACACCATTCACTGACACTACTTGCCCCTCAGCCTGCATTACAACCAGGTACTGTAAAATGCTGCCCTAATTACGCTGTCTAGAATAGCTGGGCCACTGTTCATTAAAAGACAAGTCAAATTACTGAATCTCTCTCTCATCAATCTCTGTTGGTTGTTATTCTGATGACCAGGTCAGCATTGAGACTGCTAATGAAAAACAGAACCTGGCAGATGACCTCACCAAGGACACAGCTGCTCCCCCACAAGTCACAACCTTAAACACACTGGAGATGGAGACAGACAAGCAAAGCAAACATCACTGGAAGCACAAACCCTTGTGTCAGAAAGAAGAGAAGAAAGACTTCACAAAACAAATGGTGACAGGGAGATGCAGCAGCCATCTACTTACTGTGAAGTGTCCAAGGGGTAGCTCTGCCTAAAGAGAGGACATCCTTCAAGCTACTGTGGAAAAGGCACTCTGGGAGCTCAACCTTGGCACTGGAAGGGCAGTGCCAGCCAAGGCAGCCCTGTTGGCACAGGGTGGCACAAACAGCTGCTGTGTCCAAACAGTGTGGTGGTAATTCCCAGTGTCTGACCAGTGTAGGTCATATCCATACCTTGGCCTGGCAAGCCTGCCTGAGAGCTGAGCAGAGCACCAAGCAACATAATTTCTCATCCACATGCTATCACCAAATAACGCCAAACTCCAGCTTAACCAGTTTTGTTGATGAAGCAAGTATATATTTTTTAAATCTCAGAAAACATAACAACATACATGAGAAAATTCTATTCTATGTCGTTTAAATTATACTTCCTCAAACTGGAAAACAGGATGAAGAGGATCTGGTTCCCAGACCAGCGATCCAGAGCTAGAAAGCACTATAATTAGAACCAGGACCGAGACTGAAGACCCCAGGTTGTTAGCAAAACTAGTTAGCTAATGTCATTAGAAAGCAACAGAGAATAAGCAAGAGCCGACGCAGACTCTACAGCAATCTAAGCAAAGGACAGTTTAATAACTGTACTTACGATATGTTTTAAAAGGAAAAAAAATCACTTCATGGAGTAGGTTTCATCCTGGGCAATATCCATACACTTGGACTTGGCAAAATGGCTTGGAGAAGAGGGTTTCATCATAGTAAACACAGCTACTTCACAGCAAGATTTATTAATACATCCAAAAGAAAGAAAGAAAATCATTTTGTCACACTATATACAGATAATACATACAGTGTTTTATACACATATTACATCAGTTTTTACACAAGAAAAATATACATAAAAATGTAAACTTTTGTATACAAAAACCCTTAAACAAATTAAACAAGGACCAGATAACAAAAGGAGACCAATCTATTATCATTTAATTGATTTTTTTTTTTAAATGGTAATACAGTACATTCATTGAGAAGTATGAGGAACATGTGAGCCAACCTTTCCTATTTAAAGGGAAAGTACAAACACAAGCTTTCCTCCCCGCCCCTGGAATGCTGTCCGTGAGCCTCCAGCACTAGAGGTGGTGTGAGTTGCCATTGCTGCCAGGGCCCCTGAAGGAAGGAGCCCTTGTTCACCACACTGTCCCCAAGGGACACATGCACAGAAGCGAGCTGGGCTGGGCTGTTTGTGCGTATTAGCCAGGCTTCCAGCTAATACCATGAGACGGGACGCGGCAGTGCCCGTTTGTATGTTCCCTTTAAGCAGTCATTCAGTGGATTAGCCTTGCTGGAGGAAGTTGCTTATTTTTCCCAATGTATGGTATGCTGAACACATGTGTCAGATATGAGAGGGAAGAAGGAAGGGGTGTAAGAGACTGCTAATCCTTGCTACCATGCAGTTACTTCAAAATCAGGTACATTTGCAAGCTACAATTCACTGGTTCAAAATACACTGCCTCACCTTTGCTTTCCCACTGCAACTTGTTTACATTTTAAACTCTAGTGACCGAACAACTGTATGAGGCTCTTTGTTACAAGGCTGTTTCTGATATCAAAGCATGATCAAGCTACCTTTAAAATGACACCAAACACAAACTTCTCGGAGACAGCCTTAAAAAGAGAGAGCATTCCCTCTAAGCACTTCAGATTGTCCATTTGCCACCTTATTTTATTAAGTCTAGGATAAATATATTTACCCTGAACTGGAAAAAGGATATTGGTCGAGCTTGTGACATCTGTTTTGCTCCATTTGCAGATAAATATTTTTGGGAATTAGAGGGAAAAAATCCCAAAAAACAAAGCCAAATTTTAAAACCTCAGGCATAAAAGTAAGAAGGAAATTATTTAACATGTTGGTGAAAAAACAGTTGCAGAAACTTGAACTTGTTGGAAACAAACAGACGATAGATTTCAATGAAGGCTTCTCACATTAAATAAGTTAGACGGGTTATAGACATCTTCAATAAAAACATCCATCCTCCACAAAGTATGTTAAAATGAAACACAATAGTGATGCACTGGTATTTCTCCTAAAAAGGACAGAAGGACATGAAATCTCCTTAGTGATATCAGTACTATTGAATGTAGGAGGTGAACAATGATTTACAAAAGTAATGAGGGGAAAAGAAAATCACGAATCATTTATTATAATTGGACAAAAGGGGGATGGGACAGAATGTAATTACTGTATGCCTCAGAAACATCTAAAGGAAATAAATACTTAGAAACTTGTGTTTCCATTTCTTTCACCTAAATGAGTGTGGGAATAAGGGCTTGTCTGCTTGCTTTTGTTTTTTTTTGTTTCCTTATTTTTCTTTTCCTTTTTAAAATAACAACCTTTCTAGTAAAAATTCAAAAGACAATTACAAATGGCTTTAGATAATTAAAAGTCTCCTTTTTAAAATAAAACTTTGATAACACATTTCTCCATTTCTTCTATATAATGCAGCTTCAGTGAGAATAAGTAATAAGGGACAGCAATTTGCAAAAAAAAAAAAAACTGAGAAAAAAAATGTCAACCAAGTTTTCATAACATATACACATGTATATGCAGGACATCTACACTCTATATACATATTTAATATAGGTATGCATGAGTATATATCAGGAGATAACCAACAGGTACATTCTCCACATACACAAACTGAAATAGCGTAATAGGCGTGTGCGTATCAATCCACACTGTCCGCACGCAGTACACAGACATCCATACACACGCCCCAACACATGTATCATAGAAGCCATGTGTGACTGCATGAAAGCTCAGATGGAACAGTACACCAGTTACCTTTTTCTAACAGAAATGCAAGGAAGACAAAATTCCATGGCTGAATTGTGGCCAAGAAAAATTGTGTCATAGCCATATTGAAAACATGGAATCCAGTATGGCTCGATGACAGAACTGGAGCAGCATTCTCCTCTGAAACTGAAGCCTAAGATACACAGTACTTCAATGTGACTGAGCAGGTTGCTGACAGCTGCTTTCTGCTAAAAGGATATAGAAGCTCCATTTAGCCAGAAAACAGAAAATAAAACACTTCAGCCCATAATTTACTTGCATAAGCAATATTACCCAATACACAACTAGATGCAAAGTGCTAGCATGTTAATGGTCAACTCTGCACTCCATTTTAAAATCTGTTTTATGATCAAGTGTAACAAACTGTGTTTCTTTTGATATGTTTGATGACAACCCCATTGCTCAGAACAGAGCACAGGGCTGCCTTCTGCTTACTTCCTGTGTTACAGGAGATACAAATTAAACTTCTTTTTTCTCCCTAGGGTTGAAAATTGGAAGGTAGTATTTGGTGGGTGCAGTTTTCTCATTTTGACCATTTAAATATAATGCTGGGTTAACCTTTTAATATGCTAGGAAGCTCTGCATCAGGTTCCATGAAAAGTTTGTATTCATCTGCAAATCAATCACAGTCCTACTGAATCGCAATTGAAGCTGGGGAAGTTGCATAAGTTCAAGCAGATGCTCAGGGCCCAATTCAGCTACCACTCCAGTCACCAAGAGAATTTCCCTCATGCATAAGCAGAGCTGGATTGGGCCATTAAAGCTGATTGCTGCTAGCAAGAGAAACTGCAGAGATGCAGGGACAAGGAGGAGCTGGAATGGAGGCAATGGAGCAGGGAAGCAGAAGAAGTTGGCATTTTGCAAGAGGCCTCAAAGAGACTAAATAAAAAACAAAAGCAGAGACACAGAAAGGAAACTCCACTGCGAGGGCTGAGGTAACACAAGCCAACGGTGGCCAAGCTCAGATCAGTCTCTGAGTCATCCAGACCCCTCAGAAGAATTTAGAACAACTTGTCTGGCACAAGTGCTTACCTGTTACACATATGTTAGGTGGACAGTCCCTCTCTTTAGCTCACACACTCACTGGTGTTACATCTAATGTACAGGTGTGTGACACAAGGTATATTCCACCTATCAATCTGTATGCATGTATATATAGATTTAGATTGATTGCATTCATACATATTTATTGTACTTCATGAGGGCAAGTCCACATTCAGCAAAATGCTTCTGTTATCTCATATACAGATATACCTCTCTGTACACAAAAATGGGTCTATTCTCCTCCATAAAGGCATAAGGATTTATGCTCCTAATTCCCATTACCACCAAATAAGCAGAAGAAAAGGCCTCTGACAACTTCCACCTCCCTAACCTTTTGCCTCTATGCATATGTGCCAGAAACAAATTGTGGAGAGAAGGAAAGGGGGAGAGATGCCTGGGGGAGCATCAACATCATGATATGGAGGGGAATAAAAGAAAAATTGCAAAAAATTTCAAATTTCCATTCAATACTAGAAGCTCTGTTTTTCTAAAAAGGTTTTTAAAGTCACTGGGATCATCATAGAAGTGATACTGTATGAATAAATAACAATTAGGCTACGTTCTCCAGCCTAAATAGAACAATATGAAGAGTAAGCCAATCTGAAGAACGTTTCTGACTTCTCACAATTTCAAATGAGAACTCCCATAAAGAAATCTTTCTTCTCCAATTATGAAAAAAAGGTAAGTGGTAAAAATCAAATTCAGAATTTTACAGCCTAAATGAAACTCCTTTGACTGAATGCGTATTTTGTTCTGCAATCCCACAACAGAAATTTTGGGGCAAAATTGATACACACAAACATCCTCAGAAGAGAAAAAAAATCTGCTTTGGAGACAAGATCCTTTTAGGAATGGAGACCACTGCACAAACAGCACCCCTTCCAATCTAATTGGAAAACACAAGAACACTGATTGACAACATTTTCCAAGTCAGACCGTAGGAGATTCAGGTATTAATTTGCAAAGATACAGCAATTCTCATGCCTCTCCATCCCACTGAATGCAAACCTTCCCATTCAGTTTGTTCTGGAAAACTTCTTTCTTCCATCATTCCTCCTCCCCCATTTGTTTTATTTAAAGGCTGTCTTTGGGAGCTTGGTATTTTCATGGCATTTTAAACAGGGCTCAAAGCAACTCATTTGAAAAACAGTAAAATTGACATGATATCAGAGTTAGCCTCATAACAGAAGATTATATAGTAGAGAGTTTCAGTTATTTATATAACAGTGAGGACATAACAACCCCCTACTAAATAATCACATTTCTACAATACATTCCATCACCTCTTGACTACTTTTCTCTTTACAAAACTATGACCTACATACAATATACACATTCGTATCACACATACATCCCCCCCCAATGCATATTTTTGTGTGTATATATAATACATACATGCACACAAGCAGTCTAACTCTATTTATAAGTCACAGTGGGAATTCCTTTGTGAGGAAAGGAGGGGAAAATTCCTGAATAAGACACTGTAGATTCCTAATGTTCCAACTTTTCAAATTCCAACTCACAGAGCTAACTGGAAATAAATACATTTAAAAAAAGAAAAGGTCTTACAAACTTGGTTCACAACTCCCAGCTACAGTAGTTGGATTTTTAAATTTGATCTATTTACCCTGTAACTAAATTTCTAATCATAGGTACAAACCACGGATAAATTATTGCAGAATGTAACACTCAAAATTTAAAAAGAGTTATAGGAACAGTAATATAAGGGTTAAAAAGAGTTCTATACTTGTTGATACAGGATACCATTTTATTTTATTTATATATATATCTATATATAGATATAGATATCTGCAAGGTAGCAAAGAATAGCTGTACACCTTGACACGGCAAAGATCCAGTGTAAAAAGGTGCTTCACTAGTTTGTTTTTCCAAAAAAGCTTGTATATAATTTTATAGCTATTAAAAACACATATGCAACATAATTCATTACACTCAATACAGCTTTAGTATAAAACTTATAATTTATGAGGTGATGTTAATAGCATAAATTAATATACCATTTCTCTTAAAATCTACAATAAGTATTCTGAAAGCTCATTGGGGAAGGGTATCTTTAAATAAAAAGTTTAAAGCTGAGCGTGATGAAAAAGATTCTGTATGCTGAAGTTGAGATGAGAGCCCCGAGAAGAGAAAGAGTCCGTAAGCCAGACACTGTTGACTATAAAACTGAACAAAGATTTCTCCTTCTTGCGCTCTCACTTAGGTGACGCTCTACTTAAATTATTATTTACTTTTAAAACTATTAACTTTTTTTTCTTTTTTTTTTCTTTTTTTTTTTTCTTTTTTTCTTTTTTTGTTAACTGCCCTTATTTCCACAAGGAATCCCTGAGACATACCCAAAACTGTACAGTGAAGGTCATCACTGTTCAGAGAAACTGGTTCAACCCCTTCTGGTAGGATGTAGCTATTTTGCATGAGAATCAAAATGTCCATCACTTCAGAATGAATCTACTTGCACCAGAACCAACTACACTGTTTAAGATGCAGGTTAGAGAGTCATTTCAGGGTAAATCAGTCCACTCCAAGGTAGAAGCCAATGCCATCGCAGTTAGCTACATCAGAGCAACCTGCACCAAAGTTAAAGTTTTCCAGAGGATATCTGGGAACGTTACCTATCCAGAGTTCATCTCCGTGGGCACCAGCTGACAAGGAGAAAGCAGGTTAAACATTAGCATCACTGGACCAAGTTCAACATGCCTATGTGCTCACACATGGGTAACTCTGGACATCTCACTGTGTGTGTGTTTGGGGGACTAGCAAGAGGAAGAGGAGGAAGAATGCATTTTTCTACAGCAAGTACACTTTATGGTCAAAAGCCTAAAGTTCATCCTATTCACTTTCAGACCAAATTCTATGACCTCAAGTAGACTGAAAAGGTGCCAACACTTACTTCAAGGAGACAGATAAAGAAAGCCTTTTCCAACTATTGCTCTCAACTTACAGCCATGCTCACTTTGTCCTTTCATGCTTCCACTACATTACTTCATTCCACAGTAGCTACAAAAGGAGGAGAGTAAAACAGGGCAAAGCAAACAACTCAACAACCATAAGAAGTACCAGACAGCAAAGGGAAAATAGTCATTACCATTTGGGATTTTTTTTTAAAAGAGACAGAAGACACAAGTGAGAGATTTGTTTTAAGATGCATCTTTTCTAACTCCTTCTCCTTCCCCAAACTTTTTTTCCTAACAGTGCCTTTGTCTAGTTTTAAAGACAAGACTAAAACTTTAACTGATCAGAACTAAGGTTTCCTATGACCAGACCTCTCCTGAAGTCCAAGTTGAAGTTTAGTGAATGCAAATATAGATTTTTGTCACCAATCCTCCTTACTTTTATTTGGGCTTTTTATTTGTATTAAGAAAGAGTATTTAAATGTTAATTCGTGACTTTCTACTGATACACATCTCAAATGAAGAGGAACTTCTCAGAAGGTAAAATCTTGCTAAAAATGCCTCAGTGTTCACTGCTAGCATGTGCACTCCCATGATCAATGTTGTACCCTCAGTATCTAGTTCATGACATATTAGCATGCTGTGAAACATCTCCCTACTCACTGATCTGAAAAATACTTTGTTCTATTGCACTGTCATTCTAGCATCCAAATATATGTTATGAATTGCAGAAATCTCTCCTCCTGTTCATCTTACAGTCAGATTTGCTCAGAACCACAGAAGACTTACCAGCTGGCATAACTTACATTGGAGAAGTATCTGAGAATGGGAAAACAGATGCAAGAATGATGAAGAATGTGTAGTGGAAGGAAATAAAGGAGGTATGAGAAGTAGCCCACAAATCCCCATCATTAAATGTTACCCAGAAGATCAGAAAGACCTTGTGGTCAGAAGGTGAGAAAGACCTAAAGATCCAGCCAGCACACTAGCCCCAAACTATTCCTTCAGTTACTATTTCTGCCACTACTGGACCTTGCAAGAGGTCTGCACAGGAGAGTCCTTCACATGTAGAAACACAAAAGGAAAAATACCCCAGTTCCACCAGGGAAGCTGCCTGGACAGCCACACAAATGTCTCACTGCCCAAGGTCACTACAGGTAACTTTTCTATTGTTTGTTGGCTGAAAGCACCTCCTACCATTGTCCTGCAAGTCTTGAAAGGTTAACTGCAGGTAGCTGATCATCTAAAAATGTTTCCCTCTTCTCTGCCCAAAGGCTCATACTGCTGGAGAATTCATGAGCAGATTTAGCTCACTGCAGCACAAAGACAGGGAGAAATACCCGTGGAGGCCTGGCAATGCCTACAGGGATATCCAGCAGCAAGGAGGCTGCAGGAGCTCAGGGAACAGCTGGAGCTCAGAAGCAGCACAGGTAGCCACCAGGGCCAGCTTCTCAGGGAAGAAAACTGCCCACTGTCTATTGTACACCTTTGCAGGACTCTCTTGGCAAGCAGATTCAAACCCAGAATGCATGTAGATGTGGTTACAGCAAGATAAAGTTTCAAACTGAATATGGCTGCTGGTTTGCAGGCTCAGTCTGAGGTCTTTTTCCTCGGCCATGCCCCTAAAGCCAGTGACAGCTCACAACAGAAAATCCTAATTTTTCAATACTCATCTTCCTTTTATAAAAAAAATAAAATAAAAGGCCACTTCTTTTGGCTTCTCTCTGTTATTAGGTACAATTCCTCTTTGACAATTTATTTTCTCTGATTTTTGCCTAGCAGGCAATAAGCTTCTCAGGGCTTTCAGTGCTTTCCAAACCAGAACTGCAAATCCCCATTTTCAGTTGGAAATCTAGCTGTTACCATTTTCCCCACAGTGCCTGAGGCAGACCTGCAACTGTGCTACCTCTCAGCATTATCAATTTAGTGCCTTTATGCTCAGCCATACATAGAAGCATGCTACTAATGAGAAGGGATCTAAGCAAGAACCCAGAGGAACTGGAAGGCAGGAGGAGACAGAGTTCTTGTATCATAATTATGAAGCCAAAGAACAAATCAACGTTGAGGTATCTAAGTGTATATGGTTCCCCTCAAAGCTGGTGTAAGGTCTTCTTGGGTGAAAGGAAACTTCAAAGCATGTCTTAGAGAATGCCTTATGCACCAGAAGAGCATGAAGTTATTCCTGACAAGCCTCTGTACATTGTCAAAATTAATCTTGTGTTAAATACTTTTGTACAGAGACTAATTGAGGTGCTATTATTGCCAAAATTATGTAAATTATGTCTAATTTTTTTCATTCTTTAAAACTCCAATCTTATGTGAGGGAATTAACTTTTAGGTTCAACTAGCCTTATTCCATTTGTCAACACATAAAGGGCACAACAGGTATTGAGAATCTGAAATTGCTACACTGGCTCTTTGGTGAAGGGGTGACAGGATGCTAATTGCTATAAGAGCTGATACTCAAAAACATTTCATCTCATGAGGGAGCATGGAACCTACTCGGGAACCACATAAATAACAGCCTCGAGGACCACCTTAACCAGGCCAGCAGGATTTCCCAGAGGAAGAGGTGTGAAATATCTCTGACTACACATACCTCTCAATTAGATCTCTTGCATCCAACAGTAAGACACTGATGCACTGAAGTCAACATGTTGTGTGGGTGTAGAAAGCCACCTGGAATGATCCACCTTGTAAAGCTAAGATCAAGACCCGTAACTGCTTGGCAGCCATGAAACCATGAAATCGGTGGTAGTGAAAAAATGAGAGGTGAACCAGGAAAAGGCAAGAGCGGTGGCCCGTTTCAGAACACTGTGGCAGACAGGACAGGGAGATTCCTATTTCAATTGTATACAAACTGAAGTTTATTTTTGAAAGTGCAGCTTTATTGCAAACTTAGTTTGCTCATGGAAAAATGTAACGCAGTCAGTTTTCAGAGAAGAGTCGTCAAGAGATACACAAAGATTGAAATCTAAGTGGGGAAGAGACTTGATGTCCCAAGCTACTTTAAAGAAACTCAGGCACATAAAGGCCATTGATTTCAAATGGTAATAATGGGCCTCCATTGCTCTGATAGCTTCTGAAATTCCCTGTCTAAATCAATGCACAGATTAGGAGCTGGGTTCTGTTCTGAGTTAGACCAGTACAAACTCACTGTGACCTCAGACTGGAAAGCTCCTCTGTAATTTACACCAACACAACCAAGCAGAACTCGGTTCTCAGCTCCTATTATCCTCTCTTCCCTCCCAGCATTTGCTAAGAAAGAGAAATATGGTGTGGGGCAAATATACTCTGCACTAGCTGCAGCTTCATTAGAAGTTTGATGGGCACAAGAACCATTTCAGGACCAAAGTCCTGAAACCGATACATAGAAATTAACACCCTCTAAAACTACATGAATTCACAAGCAGATTAAGGAATTAACCATTTGGTATACTAGTTCTCCACTTTTTTTCAGTCAGACATCGCAGCACATTGAAGAAGGTAGATGAACACAACAAAAATCATCTGCAAATCAAACAGTTGTCTCCTCAACAAAGTACGGGTAACATAATATAAAGATAAATAAAAGCCTTGTCAGATTTGCCTCATTCACAATTATCACTGGGCATTCCTCAATCAGCAGGACAATCACAAGCAGGATTTCATAGGCTTCAATTAAATTTTTTATGTACTTTAAAAACATTGAAGTGTTACAAACATATTTAAATCACCACTTAAAATATCCGGCTTATATTATTAAGATCTATTTTACCAAGTATGAAATAATGACTTCATAACAACAGAAGCATGAAAATAATTTTTGTTTCTTCCACCCATATACAACTGCAATTTCAGAAAAAGACATATGCATCATCCATACTCTTTTATATTTAAAGAGGACAGATCCTTCAAGAAAAGAGGGATAATATGATTGCTACAATAATAAGAAGACACAAGACCTATCCCATTTAAACTCTGTTCCTTAGGAAGATGGAAGGAGAGGTTTGGGTCAGATATTTTGGTGTGTGCCTGACTGCTAACGAAATGAATTTCTATAGCAACTAAACTTCATTCAGTGATCCTTTCCTCAGAAAATTTATTAAGCCTTCCTATTACATGTGCTTGGTTCTCTTAATTTCCTGAAATAGACTGTAATTCACACAGGTAGAATAAAATCCATCGTCTACAGTACAAGACTGAAATGTAGAATTTTCTACTGTCTCTCATCTGCATCTCTGAAACAAACCAAGGAGAGTAGAGACTTGTATTAAACAGGAGTTACTTTTACAGTCACAGTCATGTACAATAGCAAGTTTGAGCCCTAGAGAGTCATAAGCAAATTCCTTCTTGATAAGGAGATACAAGTAAACACCTCAGAATTTCTGCTGCTATTACCTCTTGGTTTAAAGAACAAAATTAAAAAGTAATAACTATTTTAAGAAATCAAAAACCTAGCTGATTCCTTTCTTTAGGAATTGCAATTACTACCAAAGAGTGAATAGTGTCATTAGCAGGTGATCAGCACAAACAAAACCATCCTGCAGACAGAAGAAATTGTTACCTATTTTGCATTAGTGATTTCTCTTTTGGTTTGCCATGACTGGTGATAGGTACCTGCTAGTTCCTTACATTCAGCTTCCCAAACAGAGCATCAAACCCTACAAATGTTGGAAAAACTATATGGCTCTCAGGGGATTAAAAACTGTCCAAGAAAGTCTCACTAGTCAGACATATTGTGAGAAATGCATCCATTTGAAAGTTACAATGGGTCTGACCTAGACTTGTGTGGATGGGCAGAAAACCAACCTAATTCTTCCTGTTTCAGCTGGGAAATTCCTGTCAGCCTGTCAGGCGAAGAGTTCTAGACAAAGACACACTTGAAAAGGCAAATCATCAATGCTACAAGGCCACAGTAATTCAGCAAGGAAGGAAATTTCTCACAGGAATCTTCTCTAATCCATGATCTATGTTTCAATCCTTCTGTTTCTTTTTGTTTTCCTGGGCTAACTTCGTAACAGCCTTCAAATTTATGGGCAACCAGTCAACTGATCTCTTTGTTACTTAATGAATTACAAATCGTGATTAAAAAAAACCCAAAAAACAACAAAAATCAGCATGCAGTAAGAACAGTGACCAGTTCTGGAAGGGGACAACTACTTCTTCACCAAAAGAAGAAAAGGAATCGCTGCTCCCTGCACCCCAAACACACACACACACGGAGGAGGTCAAGAGACTATTTCAAGAAACTGCCAAACTCATCCTTGAATTGTGATCTTGACTTCAGTGCACCACTCTCAAATCAATGTGTGCAGCCAAGTTTTCTATGCCAAATGCTACCTTTGGAAAAAGAGTAAATAAAAAAAAAAAATCAAGAGATTTCTGCCCACTGGAAAACCTTCTACCAGATGCTAATGGGATGGCAAGCACTGATCCGAACCCTAGGGAACAGTAACATGCATCAGTGATCTGAGGTATCTTCCCATTTCTAGGTCTTACTGCTAAGATCATTTACATCCAGTAACTGTGCTGTATCCTTAAGGAATTATTGGGGAACAGTGAACCTGCCTGCAATAAATGAGCACCGGTGCCTGACGAGCACATGTGAATGCTACAGCAAGGTTCACAGAGGGCTAACCCTGGTCAGTACTGAAGCAGGGGTTTTCTTCTCAACCCCCTCTTAAAAAAAAGGGAAGAGAAGACAGACAAAATAAAGAGAAAGGAAGAAAGGAAAGATAGAAAACACAGGTCCCCCATCTACCTGCAGGGAGCCAGGCAGACAAGCTCAGTTGGGGGTGGTGAAGGGCGCGGATGCGTTATTGGTACTGGTAGCGGTGGCACCGGTCACTGCGAAGCCCGTGGGAGGAGCTATGGAGCTGTGGCTGGGCTGCAGGTCCTTGGGAATGCCACTGTGGGAGCTCAGCTGGTGCCCAAAGGCTGCGCTGAACTGAGGGAGCTGTTGTTTGGGGGAGGTGGAGCCCATGAGTTCAGCGGAGGCAGGACCCATGCCACTGAAACTGGTCTGCGGTAACCCCGGAAGCACACTGGAGCTGTTGGGGGTCACTGTGGCGAAGGCAGGCTGTGTGGTCTCTGAGTGCGAGGTGGTAGGTGGTGTGGACAGGGAGGTGGACAGGAGGTGTCCATCTGCACCAAGAAGGTTGCTAAACGGAGAGGGGTCCCCAAGATTGACAGGAAGATTTCCCCAGTGAGTTCTGGGGTTGACCACCCCGCTAAGTGGCACATCCAGCTGCGTTGGGAGCAAGTGCTGTGCCATCATGGGCATCTCTGCTGAGAAGGTAGCTGCCAAGTTATCACCAGAAAAGGATGTGGTGTGAGGGGATGTGATATGGTCACTGTAGGGAGACGGCACATGCTCACTATCATAATGGCTTCCATGGGGTGAGGAGTGTGAATGGTCACTGCTGTATTGCTGTCGTGAGGTGATCAGGTCATCTGCCTTGCTCAGCAGCTGGGCAGGGTGGGGCCTCTGGGAGGCATGGCTGCCATCATGAAGTCCATGAAACTGTCCCGGGAAGGCTCTCTCCCCAAGGCCACTCTGGCTTATCAGAGTGGCAGAAGTAAGGCCAACGTTGGCTGGGGCTGAGAACTGCCCCTGGATCTGCCCTGCCAGGGGCGTAGGTGGGTTGGACAAGGTAGCAGAACGGAGCAAGTTCTCATCCAGCTCCAGAGCGGAGAAATTATCGTGTACTATACGCCCATTCAACAGCTCCCCCAGATCCGTGTTAACCTCTCGACTCAAGGACTGCATTCCTGGAGCTCCAGCACCTGTAGAGAACACCCCTATCGCTCTATCTGACAGCTCCTGAACTGGCACACCATCTGTCTGTGTAAGTACTCCAATGGTACTCAGGCACTCTAGAGAAGTTACAGCCTGCAGGGCCCGTTCCAGTTCTTCAGCTTCTTCTGTGGTTGGAAGAAGATCTCCATTTTTACCTGCAGAAACAGGGACACCACCAGTTAGTGCACTGCTCTCAGGTGAGCCTGGCCCTGGCACTCAAAGGATGAAGATGTACAGACAGTTCAATACAGAGCTGCACTGTATGATAACCTTCCAGCATGGCTTGCAGTACACAGAAAGTGTCATTCATCAGTGTTCACTAGACAAGCAAGGTAAGAAAACCATGAAATTACACCTTCCTCTTCAATTGAAATCCCCCTCTGCCTGATCTCTTCCACATACTATAGTAGGAGATGCCTCTTAAACTTCCTAGACTTAAAAGTAAAAATGCTTAAATAAGATCTTCAATGCTGCAATAACACATGGTCCTCTTTCTACTTACCACATTACAGCCTGGGCCTAAAATTTACAGAGACAGTATAATTCAGGTTAATTTCAATTCAAACACAGTCTGATGTCACATTGTATCAGAAAATGACCAAAGAAATCACGTACCCAACTCCAGGCTGTTCTAATTTCTTTGTTATAAGTTATAGGTACTGAGCTTTAGAATGCAGAAATTCAAGAACATTTCTGATCAAAAGCTAGTTTCAAAAATGTATTTAAAGATTTTATTCTCACTCTCTTTTTATCAAAGGCCAGCATTGACTGTGATTCCAGCCCCACTCGATGGCAGAAAGATGCCATTACTGAGAACACTCTTGATTAAACTGTAACACTGACAGGCAGTAAAAATGTAAAATGAATTATTAAAATACTAAACCAATTATGGTTCTCAGAGCAGTAATTACATGAGCAAGCAGAGAACTATGCACACAGCCTTCTTAAAGTCTGCTTTACTTCAGAGCTCCCAAACAATAGAGCAAACACACACTTCCTTCTCTAGAATTTATTACCTCTGTAGGAAAGCAAGCAACTCCTCAAAATGCAGTTTAGAAACACTCAATTCTTCAGTTCACTGACTGTGTTCAAGCTAGCATAAAATAAAATGGTACCTTCAAAGAAATCAAAATCTTGCAAGTCATCAGGCAGCCGTGGCAGGACATCAGAGAAGTCCTCCTGATTCAATTCCAAGTCATGTGGAATGTCTGTGATTTCATTGGCGATATCATCAGGCAGCTCATCAGCACTGAGCTCTGGAGTGGAGGGGCTCCTGAACAGAAAGGAACATTAGTCCCTGGTGTTCAACTCTGCTTGCTCCAAAGGACAACCCATCAGTGCACATCCATCTACAATGGATGCTTCCCCACACAGTCTTTCCTCCATTATCTAGGTAAAAAAAATGCTTTTAGGTAGTGTCTTTAGGAAGCTTACACTTAGGCTACTCATTAACTACATAAGAGGCAACATCAGGAGCAAAATATTTTACCCATCAAACCCAATCATTGCTCAAAGCCAAAATGACCCACCACTTAAAGGTTTTTTTCAACAGCCACATGGAGATGCAATTTTTAGGCCTGCTCCAGATGCTGCTTGGCAGCTTTGTACAAAGCTCACTGGCAGTGCTCAGGCCAGCAGTGGGAAAGTGGGCAGGAGCAGCACTGACCGTATGTGGGGTATCTCTACTGGCAGTGAGACAGTGGCAGGCATGGTGAGGTTCCCTTGGGGCACCGCAGGAGGAATGGGTTTCTGGGGCCGGCGTGGGCCTCGCCTTCTCTTCTTCTTGTGTTTTTTGGTAAGTGCAGGTGGCTTCGTTTTTTTCCTGGGTTTCCTCTGCTGCTGGTGCTGAACTTTACGGGAGCTGTCCCCTCTCAAGAAATTATCCTTTGGGAGCAAAACAATACCAATGGGAGCATATTAAGAACAAGTATTACTTTCCTAGCTTTTTTCACCCTGGTCATTCCACAGACATGTGGAATGTAATGCAAGAGGAACTGTTACCTTACACCCAGACACAGTTTCAAAAATTGAGCTGTTTCCTTCCTCAGTGACCCCAATGGCAAAAATAACATAGACCAAATTTTGAGATATTGTGAACTGGAGATTGTGCAGTGTCACTTTAAAAATTATCATAGCAAACCCTAACTAAAAAGTGCACAACCATAACATTTAGCAGCACTCCTGTAAGTATTAAAGACAAAACACTGTTGTGAGGTGGTGTTAATGTGGATAATGTGCAGCAGCTGAAGCCTCAATCCTCAAGTGCCTGCTGACATAACAGAGGGACAGCACTGAGGAGACAAAATTAACACTGCTGGACTAGAATAAGGATGTGGGTAAACAATTATGGCCTCATTGCTTCTGAACAGCAATCACTGACACATTAAAAAATAAATCAAACCATCATCAGTCTTCATCATACTGGGTACGGCAGAGGGTTATATTTGTTACAGAGGTAAACCTTGAGCGACATACTGAAGATTGCCTTGAAAGGGGGAAACCCCATGCAGATCTGTGTAGCACAAACCCTCACATTTTAATCCAAAAACTCTCTAATTCACAATTATTGGAGAAGCTGGGCAAAAACAGTAACAAAAAACTTTTAATAACCCAACTAAACAAAAGAAAAAAAGAAGTTTTACACCTAATTGAAGGTAGGACAAGAAGCCTTGAAGGAGGGGCAGGACAGAAGTGGGTTTGTGAATTATCCTAAAAGTTTTGTTCTGGAAGATTGGTGTCATAAAAAGGAGAGCAGAGGACATCAACTTCATTTCTGCATTCTCTCAGCCTGAGGTAGGCCACTGCTTTTACTCTGGGATCCATGGATCCCTGAAGGAAGTTCGAGATAAATTCTAATAGTTACTAAAAGGTTAATAAAGTAGCAACCCCATTATTTCCATCCTTGCAATTGCTCTGTACATTACTTTGGGCCCCGTGTACTGAGACTGTTTAAGATGCAGTGTTCTTAATATCACACTTATATTACATTCAGATCCAAGGACCAGGAGTGACCCCAAATAAAATGACCACAGGATCTCTCACAATGATCTTCTATTTCTCAATTTAAGACAGCAATCGTATTTTCTCCAGTGAAGAATATTCCCATGTATACTTCATTATATCCTCAAAACTACATAAAAGATTGTCACAACATACTTTATACTAACTGGGAATGTTTGTCAAGTTTTACCCTTTTAAGAAAAATAATAGCAAACAATCTCTTAAGTTCATAAACTTGCTAGTGGTCAAGGAAGACTTCATAGGAACACTGGGGTTAAAACTCCTGATCACGCCAATACACAAATAAATACAATGATGGCTTTGTACTTACCATTTTTTTGGCATGTTCTTCGCACAGAGGTGTTTGATGTGTAATGTCAAAAACTGGCACAGAGCACTGCTGACCATCTGCAAACTTGGCTGTGCAACTCGAGAAGAGCTGCTGAGAACGGTTCAATAAGATATCTGTGCATTTGTGCATCAGGAATAACACAAGGCAGTGGTGGAGGAACGCCCTTTGATTTATCAATCTGATAAAGATCAGAGCCTTCAACTCTATCTGTCCAATGATACTATTTTTAATGAGTGCCTTAAATTTGCTATTCAAGTTCAAAGCTAGGTAAGGCTCAAACCCAACTTTTAAAGTGAAAAAACTGCATTCATGCAGAATCTCTAATGATTTTATTATATACTGATAGTTTTATAAAAGCAGCTATTTCACTAATGAGTTCTTAGCAAAAAGAAGCCTTTTCCTGGAGCCTTAATCAATAGATCAATAGTAGCAGTTGGAACAGTGTAGTCAACAGGACTATTTCCTTACAGACTAATGACAATCCATACTGAAACATTAAAGAAAGAGTATTTCTTAATTCAATCTTTTAAGGTACATTCTTGGCATTTATCTTTAGAGCACAGACAAAGAAGTTTCAAGATCCTTCCTGCTCCTCTGAAAAAAAAGATGTGCAAGCAGACAGAAAGGTCAAGTAAATCCAAACGTAAGCTTGCTGAGATTTCCTTCAGAAAATCCGTAGCAGGAGTAAAAATGTTTCCAGACTTACAGCAAATCAAACAGATATTTCATTGTGTCTTTTTTCAAACAGCACTAGAAGTACTCCTTCCATCTTGAACAGTTCTCAGACCTCAACATCACTGTGTATGTTTATAAAATGTTAAAACAAAAAAAAAGGACAAAGAAAATTAAAAGCTTGCAGAACAATCCAGATAGCAGACTTGGATGGATGAGTCAGAACCAAGAATCTGTTCATTTCAGAGAAGAAAATGAAGAGAGAAAAAATGGGCATACATGCAAAATCACTAGTCTTGACTACCCTGCTCTACACACAGCAACAAGAGAGACCACTTAAAATTAAAAATTACCCAAACAAAAAAATCCCATCAGAGCCATGAGGCAAATCCCAAATACAGCTGTATGCCATGGTACTCTCTCATAGAGGTTTTGAACTGCTCTGCAAACTGCTTTTAAGCAGCCTGCAAAAAATCAAACAATAAAAACAAGGCATCTGCAAAACAAAAAGATTGGAAAGGTGCTGCAGTCTGACAGTAGCTGGGTGCATCAGCACTAGTCACTTTTAATACCAAAATCAAAAGTTCCAACAATAGGAGTCACCCCAACAAAAGCACCAACAATTCTTCAGCCAAAAACAAAAAAAAAAAAAACCAAACCAAAGTCTGCAGTAATTTTAAGTATTACAGGTCATAAGTCTGCCTTTTTATAGTCTTCAGAACCAAAACTCACACCTATTGTGCTCTCTTCTTTCTGAGATTTTCAGCCATTGACTTCCAACATTCTTTCTAGGTTTTGTTTGAAATTCCAAGCACAGGGAACCCTTCCTCATCTGGACTAAGAGGTTCTGTGACTCCTTCTATTCTGCTTCTTTAAACAAAGCAAAGTATGATTTCTATCTTTCTAGTCAGTGTAAGCCCTGTTTTTATACTATGTATAAAATCCTTTTTCCATGAAACTGGCACAGGAAGATGGTCTATTGGAACCTACCAAGACCTGTATGAAAGCCAGGAGGCTGAAAGTCCCATTGTTTGTACCAAGTCATTCTGAGGGATGATCATTTTGCAAAGGTTTCTTGCCCACACTAAATACAGCTCACAAAGTAAAATGATGTTCCTATTACAAATACCAGTAGAGACTACTTATCCTCAGTGTCTACACACCTGAATCACACAGCCGAATGAAAAGCAAAGGAGTTGCTTTTGTTAGTATGATGACATACTAACAAATAGGCATTTCTTTGTGAAAACTTAGTTATCATGCAAAAATCTAACAAACAAAGAAAAAACCTCCTAAAACAGAACAGCCTCCATGCCTGAATGCCACTCCCAAACAGAGTTAAGAGGATACGCTGAAAACAGTGCCTGGTGAATGGAAGGGCCTTGTTAGTGCACTGCTCTCCCTTCGAAGTCCCACTGCAGGTTGTTGGTTCTGCATCTCTCTGCCTTGCTTGGCTTGTGCTGAAAAGAAAGCATAAAAGAGTTTACAGACAAAACCCCAGTCTTGTGGTTACTTAACATAGTTATTATACTCAATGTAGCACAGTAGGATGAAAAATTGTAGCACACATGTGTGTGTCATGATCCTGATGGGTGCACACTACTAACAAGCTCTACACAGGGACACACAATAGATGTCAATGACAGGTGAAGGTGTGACTGTAGTAACAGGATTATTTCTTATTTCACAGGGCCTTAATTGTAATGAGAGGTGCTATGTGCTACTACCATGTAAATATTACAACACCTTGCAACAGAAAGGGCAGCAATAGGTGAGTGTCAACACAGGTAACCCTCAAAATGAGGTCAGTCTTTAGAATTCAATGTACTGGGTATGCCTAGATGGGAGTCAAGTGCACTTTCAAGCCTGTTCATAAATCCAAACATGCCGAGCAACCCCAGAGCTTACATGCAAGCATGTGCTCAGACAAACTTAGACTGAGCTCTGGAGTGGCAGAGCCTGAGCGTGCTCAACATGGATAAAAGCTCTCCTTCATCAACGTGCTACAGCCCAATCCACCAGCAGGTGCCCGGGGCTCCCCCAGCACAGCCTGTGTGCTCTGAGCCTGAGCTGCAAGCAGGCGCCAGGCAGCGGTGAGGACGGGCACTGAAGCGTTACACAGCTCGCTCGGGTGAGCCTGCTCTCCAGGCACGCGTCACCTTCATGGAGATAAAGCTGCCGATTCCAGGGCTCACTTGCACCTCTGGACACGTTGTTTTCTAGGTTGACAAAAAGTTGTCTGTAGCCTGACTGTTTTCCTTCAGCCATTTCTGTCATCAACTGTACTTTGACTGAGCAAAGTTTTAGTTAGCAGTATTACTCCTGTGAAAAATTTTCTATCTGAAAAGACTCTGTGGTTACTTAAATTGACCAGAGCAGTGATGACAGGCATACCTGGCTTTGCTGGTCTACCCAAAACAATGTAAACCTTTTTTGCTTAATAAAAGGGAAAAATAATAGGGAAAAAAAACCAGCAAGAGCTTGTGAGTTTAGGTGAACTTTTGCCGTAGTGTTTAAGTTTGGAGAAATTTATACACAACTTTGTAAGCCAGTTATGGAGACTTCTACATTACACCTCAGAGCAGTTCTTCAGAATCAGTCCACCTCCCCAACAACGAACACTTCAATTGTCATGAACTACATCCCACTGAACCAGGAACAAAAGCATCCCATTAAACACAATATGCTCACAGTACCTAGCTCCAATCTGCATCTCATACTATACACTGCACCCCACAGTCACACATCCTGTAAAGCAAAACCCCAACAGCAAAAGGATGCTTCTGATACCCCAAATGTAACACCAGGGTTCAGACTTAGTCTGTTCCTCCATGAATATGAATCAACCAACTCTCCATATGCTGAGAGCTAGAGGGATGTTGACATTATCTAGAAAGAATTCCCACAGAAGATAACCTTCAAAGTTGTTAGAAGTTATGTATTTTGTCGCCAAGTTTTATTTAATGTTAGATTGAGTTAAATCTAACAAAAAGCATGAGCTTAAATTTGGTTTGCTGGGAAGATAATTAAGAGGAGGTACAGACTTTTCAAAAAAGCTGTCTGAAAAACAAAATCTGAATTGGAACAGTGAACTACAGACCAGACTGCACACCTTCTACTGGCACAGTAAAGGACCAGATATTTGGGCACAGAAACTGCTGAACAAACCATCCACATTCTACAACATAAATCTGGAGAAGGCCTGTCTTCATGGAAAACTGTACTCCATGTTTCTTTTTCTCCACTGACAGGCACTTATGTGTCATGTTCTCCTGCCTCGTGTGTGACTCCCGTTTCAGAGCTCATCCCTTCAGCTGCAGGATGCTCAGCCCGTGTCCCCCTGGCCAGCCCCAGGCCCGTGCAGCAGCAGGGCAGGTCTAACCTGGTGCAAGCACACGCTGCCCTCCGGAGCTCGTGCAGGAGCTGCCCTGCGCGCTCGGGCTCCCGGCTGGCCGCCTGCAGCAGCGCCTTCCGCAGCGTGTGCCGGCATTTCTTCTGCCGCGACTCTGCCCGCTCCAGGCGGCACAGGTGCTTGTATTTCTGCTGAAAGTAAGTGCAAAGTCTGGTCACCCTGGAACTCCTGTCATCTGCATTGTCATCATCGGACCTGAAGAAGGGAAAATAAAAACAAATATACTTTAAGATACTACGTTTTTTTCCCTGCTAAGCTAATTTGTCATTCTAATGGAATTGTTAAATTGGCATCCCTCTTCTAGCCACACAAACATCCAAATGCTGAATCAGGCAGTGTTACTTGAGAAATAGCAAGAGCAGGATCCCTTCTAAATTCTAAAGGTATTTGCCCTTCTTAGTACGTCATTATTAGAGATTACATCAATTTATCATCAAGTCTGACACATTTAAATGTCTAGAGCCTGCTGTTCAAAAAGAAATCTATACTGTTAACCTTTATTTACTGTTGATGTCACAGCAAATGAGACCAATCTTAAATCAAAGTGCAATTAATGGAGAAGACAAGGGTGGGGAATTGTGTAGTGGAAATTTATTGAGGAACAATCATGCTGGAGAAGATGGTCAAATTCTAACAGGTACCTAAGCTTCTGACTTCTTCCAATTCCTTTTACTTTTCCAGGTGGCATATTCCTTTTTAAACCAAAATACACACTATTAACAGCTAACAGCTGATACTGATTTCCCCTTGCTGCAGAGTTGCAGTTGAGTTACAGTACAATAATAGAGAAGAAATTCATATTTAACTCAAAGATACTGAGGGAAAGATCAAACCACGGCCAAGCAATGATCAGAAGAAGGACTAATCCAACTCTCTGTTGGCTTAAGAAAGCCCTTCTCCATTTGTCTTGGCTCTCTGAATGTCCAGGCACATATAAACAAGACCATCAAACCATGTCAACACATTCAGTTAAATGAAGTAAAAGTCAGTTAAATTAAACAGAAAATCATCACTGGAACTTGTTAAAACAAGGTCCATGAAGCTACCCAGAAGTTCTCCACAACAAGCACTAGTTTGCAGAATAAGGTTTTTTTTTCATGGAGCAACAAAATGCATGTGCTAAATCTAAGCAGACTCTGTTTTTTCTCTAATTTTTACAGGAGTAAAAAAACTCATGAGTCTTTCCTCTAATTTTTTTCCTATAGAACAGAGAAACTTTTTGCCAACTTTCCTATCTGTAACACAAAAAAGGGCAGGGGAGAGAAGAGAAATCCAAGCAAATGAAGCAAATCAAAAGCTGGCAGTGTTCAGAGCCCGTGGGACTGCATGAGCTGACACCCAAACCTGCACACAAAAAAGGAGGCCACCACTGAGACACAAGAGATGTGAAATACCAGCCATGCTATTTACTAAATAAAGTAAGATCCAGAAATGCAGACAGCAGGTCTGTCCCTGAAAGGCAGTATGGTGAAGACCTACTTTCTTTTCTGCAAAGTCTGACTCTTTTTACACACAGGCCAAATGGAAGAGACTGCAGCCATCTCCACTAAGGCTTTCCACAAGAACTCTGCAGCAGCAAACATTGCCTTTGACACAAATGCATGTTTTTGTGAAGTTTCATGTAAAGTCAACCATATGTATTTTGTCTATTAAAACAATTTACAGCTTATTTTCTAGAAGCATAAATTACAAGTAATTAACTTCTGCAACTACATGCTTAGTGGCAAATACAATCTATGTTAAAAATATTTAACATATGCAATGTTTAGAATATTTTTACATTGAAAATTAAAAGAAAATACACTTTTAAGATCTCTTAGGAAAGAGTGCTTCCTGGGGAAAACTACCTGTTTAGAAAAAATTGACTGTGGGCTATTTAATATAGATTTTCCTTTTCCAATGTATTACTAAAAGAGGAAAACATAGATAGCATATATATTTATTGGTAAGTTTAATATCTTAGATATTTCATTACTGCTCTGGGCCAAGACTTTTAAACAAAGTTACTGATTTAATTTTAAATATGGTTAAAAATTAACTTTATGAATACCAGAAGTATTCCTTAGGGGAAAGAAGTTTCTTTCATGTGGAAAGAGTGTTTTTTAATGCACATTTCTCTATATTTGAGACTTTTTACTTCTCTCACATTGAAAGAGCCATTGTATGCTAAAATATTTTTGACCTTCAGTTTATGAGATCTTTTTAAAAAACAGACAAATACATATATCAAAGGTATAGAAAGAAATCACGCCTGCAGCGGGCAAGGGCTTATTTTGAGCCAAAATTTCTAAAAGCCAATTTCTAAAAGCCTGTTCAGAACTTTGTTCCCAGGCCAGTAAGATTAGCCAAAACATTTATATGTTCAAAGAAACCTAAAAATATCAAAATAAAACCTTTTTTCTTCAGTAGGCATGAAAATGAAAGATACTTTTATTGTTGTTCTTTCATAAACAAGTTTGCCAAATTCTATTTAGTTTATTCTCCTAAGCTGGATATAAAACTTCTGAAGTTCAACTTAACGTGTGGCATTTCATTTTTACAAAGAATTCTGAAAGTGCACACAAGCCATTTGATAATCCAAAATGCTTTCTCCCAACCCTTCCCTTTCAGACTGTCATGTGGAAACATCAGGGGGATTACTGCTGAGTGTTCCTGAAGAAAACAAAGACAGCACAAAGCAGCAGAAAGAAGAGCAAAAGGGTGAGCAGCCAGGCACCACCAGGGAATGAGGAGAACATGCTCTCTACTCTGAGACAACCCAGCAACTACACTTCAAATCCCTCCTTACAGAGTGTTTTGAAGAATCTTCCCTTCTTTCTTTTAGTTATTCTACTTATTGGGAGTTATTAAATCCAACTTTTGACAACACAGTGTTGATATTTAATCCTTTGAGGGAGGTGGTATGAGGAGGGACACTCCTTTTTCAAACTTGCTACTTGAAACGTTTGCTTTATCTATATTTCAGAGTATGAAGCGAAAAAATATTTTGTTATAAAGTTATTTGTTTTCCAGCACTTTCTAAGATACCAGACTCAGTAATCAAATAATCTAGGGGGAAGCTTCAGGAATCTGCAGCAGGGAACAGCCCCTGCTTGCTCTCCAAATTGCTGCTCCCACAAGGGATTCCTCCCACCCAGCAACCTTCTCTGCCAGCAGCCAGCCTGTACTGTGCCCACTGCCAGCTCCTGTGCTATTGGAACTCAAACATTTGTGCCTGCCTCGAAGCACTGTGTCCTGAACTCCTGGGACCACAGGAACACAATTTTTCAAAATTAAAGCACAGAATAATAAAAGCAAACATTTGGCCTGCGTTTCCACAGATGATTGCAACAGTATGAATTTTACAGATTAAAAGGCCAGAAGGCAAGTGAACCAAAAAATGTAGTATTGTTGTCATGGTTTAACCTCATCCAGGAACTCAGTACCACAGTGCTGCATGCTCCCTCTCCCTGCATGCTCACTCTCCCTGCTCCCACCAGTGGGATGGGGAGGGGAATCAGAAAAAAACCACCTTGTGGGTTGAGCTAATAATAGCTTACTAATGAAAACAAAGTAAAATACACTACTACTATTTATTGTAATGAAAAAAGAATAAAAAAGAATGATAAACCCCAAGAAAAGTGATGCCCTACAGAGTAGCTCACCAACCCACTGACTGATACTCGCGCCTTCCTCAAGCAGCAATTGGCTCCCCCCAGTTTATGTCCTGGCCATGATGTTCCAGGCTGTGGAGTATCCTCGTGGCCAGCTGGGGTCAGCTGTCCCAGCTGTGCTCCCTCATGGCTTCTGCTGCAGCCCCTCTCTGGCAGAGCACAGGGAACTGAAGTGTCCTTGACTTAGGGCTAACTCTACTTAGCACCAGCCAAACCATCAGAGCGTTTCAGCGCTCTTCTCCTACCCAACCCAACACACAGCGCTGTGCCAGCTGCTAAGGAGAAAATGAACACTATCCCAGCCAAAACCAGGACACTGTTAAGACATTAATTTAAAACAAATCAGGTGAATTTTTGGGAGTTTAAGATGTCATACAAGAAGTTCAACAGAGGTTTCTCCCACAATCACACAAGCAGAAATGCTGAGAAGCAGCTGCACAGTGAAGCAGAAATTAACTGTTCACTTTCTTTCAATAGTCTACTCTGAAAACCATTCCTCTTGCTGTCTTCCATCCAGTCAAATAGGAAAAAGACAGAATGCAGTCAGCTGGTGGGGACCATAAGCTCAGACACAAACAAACAGAAAAAAAGAGCTTTAATTTTACTATGAAAACCAGCAAGTAAATCTCCTAAGTTTAGGTTTTTAGTTTAGATTTCAAAAACAAAAAGTTTTGGGTAATAATCTCCATTAGTTTTCTGGTAAAGTAAGTCCCCAGAATTCAGAGCTGTAACAAGTCACTGGCTGACTTTAGGAGGCACCAGTCTGTACCACCAGATCAGCAAAACAGAGTCATTTTGACAAATCAAATCTCCCCAGAAACAGCCTGAACTAATTCCTCTTCAGCAGCCTGCAGACCACACTGCAGAAGTGTCAAAGTGAAATATTTCAGGTAATAAAAGCCACTACAGAAGTTTGCAGAATAGGAAGTCAAGTTTTAGAAGGTTGACATCAAGTGACTGTTTATCCATGGTCAAAATTAGTAAGGTTTTGAAGAGCTAACACTGAGCAGGCTGATGGAAGTACAAAAGCACCCAGATGCATTCAAAAATTTATCCATGATGGATAGTTAAGACAGCATTTAACTGAGGTGCACAGAATGCTAGAATGGAAAAGAAAATGTCAAGACAAGGTATTATTTTCTCTCAGTATGTGAAAAGAGTAGGAAGAATCCAAAGGAAGTTAAGACAAATAGAAGACAAAACACACAGAGATGACCTTTATAAGTTCACAAAAAAACAGGGATCTATGGAAGAATCAAATCAAATGTCAGAGAAGAGTGTAAGGGAAGTTATTTAATAGATATATCTGCTGTGAAAAATTATGTATGATTTAGAAGTCTGAAAGTCTGTCCACGATTTCCCAGAACATTTTATTTAAAAGTTGCCTTTTAAGTTAGAAGTAATGTTTGTGAAAGGTCACTCTAAAACTGCTGATGCCCTAAAAAATGGCGGTCGTTCATAATAAAAGACTCTTTTATTTTAAAAAAGTGAAGTCTACACTCTCCTTAATAGCTTTGATTCACTGAAGGCTCTTAATATTGAGCATCCTGGTGTGTGTCCTGATGAGAGAGATACAGCTTTGTGGTTCACCTTGAGAACAATCTTCAGAGATGGCAGGAAATTCTAGTAAGTTTCAGAATTTTCAGAATGTAACAACAAAATAAGGTTTCATTAACATCATTATTCTAAGTGTGATAGCTAAAAACTAAAAAAATAGGGGAAAGTTGTAGAACCAAAAAGTCCAGTTGCACATTGAATTTCTTTGTTAATGACATACAACAGTATTACAATATTACATCTGGGATGCTTTGTTGTAACTGTCTACCTTCAAATTTACATTAGTAGACCTATATTATCATATCCTGCTGTAAGTTTAGATTTGTGACTCAGCAGTATATAGAGAACATCATAAGCCTTTCAGAACCAGCAGTTAATTCCTGTTCTGTTTATCCTTTTGATCCCATGCTCACAAGTCCCATGCTTCCTTCCAATGCTCACAAGTACTGACAGAGGTTTATTCAAAACTTAATTATGAAAAGAAATACCATGGCCTTTTAAAATCCCCATTAAAACAATAGCCTGCATAATTATTACAAGAATTAATGAGTAAAATGTAGCAAGTTTACTGACAAAGTTATTAACAACCAGTAGGAAAGACAAGAAACCAATAGCAACCCCATTTGATTCTAATTTAGCACCTCCAATCATCAAAGCACACAAGTTCATGAATAAATCCTACTAAACTCAATTAAATTCAGGCAAACAAGCTTAAATCCTTTCCTGATGCATCCTTCTGATAGCAGACTGCACAAAGGTCTCTAAGTTAGCTGGAAACTGGGACAGAAGGCGACAAGCTGTTCCATAGCTCTTACAAACAAATGAGTTCAAACAATCCTTTGTTTCAGCAAAACACTTGAACAAGTGCTTAGGTTCCACTGACTCCACTTGAAGTGAAGCTCACATTTACATGATTTATTCCATCAAGGCCAGCATGAATACTAAAGAATCATACTCACTCAGGTCTCTCATAGCCGAGGCTTTCTCGGATAGACCACGCAACCTGGTAAGGGGAGGTTTGCTCTGAATCCTCCAACTCTTCTCCACTGTCTTCAGACCAATCCAGCCCTAAGGGAATTGAAAACATGGAAACTGGATGAAAAAGGCAACCACCTCATATAAGCCCCTGAGCAATCTTTGGCACAAAAGATGAATGTATAGAATACTTGCAAGCATAATTAAGTTTGATTAAATTATGCAGTATTCTCAATTATGCAGGAAAAGCTACAGTAACAGCTCCATTACAGTGTGCAAATAGCATGCACTGATTTTTATCATAACTGAATTTTCCTTTTAAAATCCTTATTGGCTTCTTTACCCATAAACAGTGCAAGAAAAATCACCAACTATCTTACCCACAGAGAAATACTAGTTTTCATAGTCAAATACAAGGTAAGAGAGAAGTCCCTGTCATGAAGAACTGACTACTTGGTAAATTTTAATACTATATGATCTAAATAGGCCAATTTCATTTCTGTTTATATTCTGACCCCTTTTCTGTGCCAAAACATGGAAGAATATGAAAACTGTAAGACACAGCAGCAGGGACAGAGATAGATACACAGCTACCCAGGGTGTTCCTCTGCTCAGTCTCTGTAATTGCCTGCCAAATGCACATATTAGTGGGAAGAAAGAGCTAAAGGGAGAGATACAAACACTCCAGCACTTTCAACAAGCAGCATGTTTTCACTTAATGATGATGCACTATGATCAACTTACAGCATGCTCCAGCAGCCTCAGTTTGGCCAGAAAGCGGCCAGTAAGTTCTCAGGTGGAACATTTTATCTGGAGCTTCATCTTTTGGGGTTTTTCCTATTCTCTCTCCCACATCCAGTGAAATTCTTGCCACTTTCTTGCAGCAGATGGGATAAAATCCCATTCCTGCATTTACAAGCTAGCATTTTTTGCTTTTTCATTTTCTTGTGTGCTCCTTGAAAATTGACAGAGTTAAGGAGCATTTCATTTTTGCTAAAACTAAACTAAACAACTATATCTGAGATGATTCTGAAGTCAGATGCCTTAAATCTGGGATAATCATCATCAGTACTTGGTCAAGCCCTTCAGAGTTAGAGACACACACACACATAAGCTTGGAACACAATCATCAGGTAACTCTTCATGATATAGAACCCGCACTTTAACATAAACCACAGATATCAGAAACCCAAATTTTCAAGAACTTCAGCATCCTAAAAAATTATTTTTTATTTTTATTTTTTAAGACATATAATTGAACTAAATTAAGATACCTTAAGACATTTGATAAAATACCAGAATTATAGTTTCAACTTAAATGTTTCTTTTTCCTGTTGTCTCTTCCATAAAGGAATGAAAAAACAATTTAATCATTTCATAAAGATGTCCACAATTGACAACCACATAACAAATTGTTTAAATCCCTAAGTTTAAAAACAAAATCAGAAACTGAGTTGTTTTGCTTCTCCTGGGCACTGCAAAAAGGAAAGAATAAAATCTAATCCAGATTCAACTGTACTGACACTGAAGACTGCAGTTACATTAATATCCAATTACATGGCTCTGATGTTGGTACACATAAAACTGGCTTAATCTTTTGAAAGATTCTCTAGTGCTGCTCAAATATAGAAAAGAAAATCTGAAATTTTCTGATCTGGCATATCTAGTCTTTAATATTAAGGCTTATAATGAATAAATAACAAATAAATTTTCCACTTTCACGTAATTAATATATAAATTCTTTTACTTTGCCAAATATAAACTGTTCTAAATGCGTCCACATAGTTATGCACCTGCCTAGCTGTACATGTATAGGCCTAGCTGTACATGCATAGGTCCAACTGTTTTTTAGTTTTACTATACCTCTTTTTAAGGAGCACCTATTCTCTTCATCAGCTGAGAATGTTGAACCTTAAGCACAGAAAGGGATCTTTCTACAGTCTTTCAAAACATAGGTCACTTTCTAAGCTACTGAGGACTGTGACACTCAGAAATGCCTCTAGAGCTGCCATTCCTCTAAAGACCTGCACTATATACAGGACCATCAAAGCTGTTTTCTGAAGAACAATTTTCTTTGGAGACATGATACTGGATGCTAATTATCTCCTGAACAAATAGTCAAAGTATCCCATGAGTGCCAAAGGGCAGATCTTCACAGCAAATTAAGAAAAAGTTAATTGAAATTGCAAAAATTACAGATGTTTGCAATTAAATAAGACATTATGTAGGAAATGTCCAGGTTTATCTGAAGTCTTTTTTTGTTTTAAACATCATAAATGGTGTTCCTACTTATATCACACAGAGTCACATTTCCTTTTCCCTGCCAGTATTTTACTTATTAGAAATGTACAATCTAAAACTAAGCAGAAAAGTGACTTGGGAGGGTGAGGAAGATAAAAAAGGACAGATAGGTGTGCCTAGGTCTATATTCACAACAAGACAAATCAGCCATAAGGTCAGTTGCCTTTTCAAATCTTACAGAGCACTATTATCATAACACCAATTTGGCTATATTTGCTCATATTTTCATAAGCAGCTATTGATCATTATATGTAAGGGGAAGAATATTTCTGCACAGTATGGAGACAAGACTTCACCCTTCCAACTATCTTCCGTAACAATGCTGCTCTCCTGAAGTGGTCTTTTCCTTCTGTTCATCCATAGACATAAATAGGGCCCAGTCAAGAAAAATTCTCATGTGTTCCAATTTTCCAATTAAGTCAACTGGAATTTCAAATATGCAGAGATTGATGGGTCAAATTGCCAAACTTTCACTTATATTCATTATGTCACGTGCACTTATCACACACCTAATGTTTCAATCTAACATTGTCCACTCATGTAGGTACTGCTAGTGTCACATTTACTACTCAAGTTGCAAACCTTCTATGTGAGGTCTCTATAACCCAAATAATGTTTTCAACACCTCAGTTTGGTTTCTCAAATGGTTAACAGAACGTTAAGAAGAATAAACAACCAAAATGCCATAAACCATTTGGGATGGGTCCAGGCATTCCCTTCATAGACAACAGAGCTAAACAAAATGCCAAGAGATTACCTAGCTCAGGGTTATTTTGTAAGGACCGCACAGGAATTCAGGACAGGGCTAGGAAGACATTCCCATTCAGTCTTTTGGTTCCAGGTTAAAATACATGGCTGCAGTGCATGTGTGACCTACTCACCTAAGTGAGGAAACAGATCAGTGTCCAGCTGCTGTTTTCGAGTGCACAGTTTCACCAGTCTCTGGAGCCGGCTCATGCAGGACGAGTGCGGAGGGAAGGCTGTGGCTTTCATGAGGACCCGGTCAGTCCGTGGCGGGTCCGTGCCAGGAGCCCTGGCGGGTGGCAGGAGAGGCAGAGGTCTCTTGTTGGACAACTGCCGCGCTTGTGCTATAGTGTGTGTGGTGGGTGCCACTCCCTGCATTGGTAGGCTGGTGTTCAGAGGTTGAGGTGACTTGCAGACTATGCCCTGCGGTAGCCCTGTCGGCTTTAACGAAGCTGATGAAGGTGGCGGATGGGAGTGCTGCTGCTGCTGCTGCAGAGGCTGCTGCTGCAAAGGTGCAGGAATGGGGCTAAAGTGCTCTTGGCGAACTTTTAAAATCTCTGTCTCTCTCTGGCGCTGCCGGTTGTGAGCCAACTTGCTCTGCAACTTTTTCTTCACCGTTGCCCCTTTCTTTAGGTCATCATCCTCCTCGTTGAAAGCAAAGGGGTCTTCTAATTCTGCCTCCAGGTAGTGGAGAGGAAGCCTTGCCCCTGGAGGGGAGAGGGACATCCCATCCAGTCCATTGGGCATCTTCAAGGCCAGGGTGGGCACTGTCAGACCGAAGGCCATAGCATCCATCTGATGCCTGACCTTTACCTCCTCTATGGGATCATTCTTTTTCTTCCTCTCCTTTTTCGGTATAAAGCCAAGTACCTGCAGGTGGCTGTTGCAGTACCTTTGAAAAGTTAAGAGCAGTCAGTTATTAACTAAACTTCCCTAAGTAAAATCTGAAGGCAAGACATCACTTAGGAAAAACTCACAGACACATTTCAAGCAAATATAAGCAGAAGAGGCTTTATAAGAATTGTACACAACTTCTAATATAACAGGTAACTGTGGTGCTCCCAAACCAGCAGGAAAACAACTTACACAAGCAACTATTCCTAATATTAAGATATAATATTCTTCATTCGTTATTCATAGGAAAATCACGTAGTCATTCAAAATCCTAACTCTCTAATAGGGTAAACAGTCAAAGTCCAAAGTGAACAAAACAAATGGACAGTCTGATACAAAAATTAGCAAGAATGCAAGCCATTAACTGATCAGTTCAAAAGCTCTTAAGAAAAAGTACATCGAAAAGTACTTCCTTTCATTTGCTCATTCTTTCAGTGGAAGTAGTTAACATTTTCATCAATGCACACATTATTATTATTATTATGAATTCCACTGTAGTAGGGAGCAGTTTCTCATAAGGGCAATCTCAGTACATATCTAGCTGCTATGAAAGACCACTATTTCCACTTACTGAACAAGTAGCATAAATACTTAAATTCTGTTTTAGTAGTTTAACATGATGAATTTGAAAGCCAGACGATTAGCTGAATATTCTTCAATAAAAATCTATCTTAAAACAAACTCTTTGCTGCTAGAAAACATTCACACAATGCCAGAAATATGCATATATACAATCCAAAAGCACGGATTTTAAGTTCTTCTAATACGAGAAACTTTCAAAGTCATGCTATTAAAAAAAAAGAAAGCGAGAAGGTCTTTGACATCTGTCACGAAAGTAAAAATAATTACAATTTATGCCACAGATGAAATACTAGAAAGTAAGCAATTAACTTTTGTTTGATTGGAATCAGTATGTGACAGAAATTTAGGAACCATGATGTGATCCTTTCCCTGTACACCACAAGCAGACACTCCTGCCTCTGTAGAACCCACCAACAATCAAAATTTGCCCTTGCAGAATCCCATCTATAATTTACAGCTTATAGATGACCAAAGATACAAGGAAAGAGTGATGTCTGCATCAAGGTAATTATAGACAAGATATTGAATAGAACACCATGAAGCTATTCTTTAAAATCAGACCAGTATGAATCTGAGAACAGTAAGTTTTTTTGGAAAAATAGGTTAAAATTACATTATTCTGGTCTTCATGGAGCAAAAAAATGGCAGAAAAGCCCAAAACAACCCCCCAAAAAGGTTTAGCACTTCAGTTTAATCACTTTCAACTTGTCGACCCATTTCTAAAGAAACAATGAGTGAACAGCTCTAAAGGGTCCTTAAAAGGGAAAAAAGAGAAAGCAAATTCATATATGCTGTTTAATGGTCTCCATATATGTACAGCTTCTTTCAAGACCCACACTCCTAAGGTTTCACAAATCAGAAAACACTGAAAAGCACTGCTACTTATTATTGCTATTGCCTAAATAATTTCTTCATTACATTATGTTGTAAGTAAAAAATAAACTTAGATGAGGCAAGCTAAAAGCCAACAACTTATGCAGTCCTTATTAGAACACACTGGAATACTGTAAATTCATACTGAGAGATGCACTTCTAAAAATAAAATTATATAATAGAGGGCTGTATAAAGCTTCCCTTAAAGTCAACAAGCACTGTTTCCATATTTAAAATTAAGCCCTTTTTAAATATGTTGTTTGAACAGTTACCACGGCACTTTTAGCATGGCAGAAGAAAAAAACCAATAAACAGACTAAACAAACACAAGGGAATTTTTTTCCCTCTTATGCCAATAAAACGAGTGTTCTGCTCAACACAAATGCTTCCCTTATATTGTCCAGAATTTAAATTACTGTCATCTTGTGCTTGTGCTGATGTGAGGAGGTAGAACTGCATAGTCTGTTTTCATTGCAAAAACAGTAAGAAAATAAATAGAAAAGGTGAATAAGTCTGTGGAAAGGTAATAAGCTTGCTAAAATTCTCTGAGTTTTAGGCTAGTAAGGGTTTGTCTTGTTCCTTTAACTCTAACAGAATCATTTTTATATGGCAGAGAATAAAGCTTTGGCTCTTACAGCTGACCATGCTGCCTCACTGAGAGCCAACTGGCTCCGCTGGACACAAACCCACAGATGCCAGGCTACAACATTCAGATTCCAGTACACACTGACTTGGCTCTGTGCTTTAGGCTCTGCCAACTCCCTGTCTTCCAGTATAACCAAGGCTGTTCCACCTTGGACTAACAGGAGCAAGAAGAAAGCAGGAAGAGCAGTTCAGTCTTGTCTGGGTAAAGCAGACTGCACACAAGCAGTTTTGGCTAGGCACAGCTCTCACTAGCACCACTTCAGCCTTGACCATGTCATGCTCTTGCTAGCCCTGCACACAGCCAGGAAGGCATGGACCCACATTTCCTCATCCTGCACATTCCAGGATGGCTTTTCAGTCAGCCCTGAGCTAAAGTGGCTCTGACTTCACGCGGTGCTGCAGAGTCTGCATCAGCAGTTCAAGCCCATGGAAGTCAGGTTACTGGGGAGACAGGAACTGAACCTGCAAGTAGCACAGTGCTTTTCACATAGCTCTGAGCACAAAACCCAATAGGGTCAAGCTGGCCCTACAAGAGCCAATTCCAACTAGCCTGTCTTAGAGGCTCAGTTTGTCACTGAGTGTGAATTGTCTGTGAGTTATGCTCAGCTGACAGTATCACAATAAGTATCTAATTCAGGGGGTTTTCCCCTTCCTCAATCAGCACCAAAGGCACTTATTCTGTGCAGGTAATGTCAAATTAAGTCCACAAATATGGTGGGTTGATATCCATTAAAATTATCATAACATGAAGCACACAAAACATGATGGGCTCTGAAGAATTCAGCTGGACTGTTTCCTGCATCCACTGGGAAGGCAAGAATTTAGACAGTCAGGTTTTCTACCTACAAATGCATTCTGCTTCTTAGTACACCCCAGTTTGGTATCAATTTCCATCTCTTACTTTAAAAAAGACACATACAAACTGGGAGCAGCTTGTATATTAACAAAGAATTTAATAATTCTCTTAAGTGAGAAGAATTAAAGACAAAGTAGTGTTTAACTCAACTATATTGTAGTAAACCTATATTTAGAAATCAAGTTGCATTTCATTATCTTTGTGTGTATCTGGTTAAGAAATAAGTAGGAGATGTCTTCAGAGAAGAGAGAGATATAAAACCCATGTGTGTATCGTCCCACATATATATATTCTCTAAAAAATACAGTGAATAGAAAAATCAGACTTCAAATAAGGCAATGAAGTCACATATATTAATAGATTTAATTTGTAGAATGTTAATGGTTAATAAGAACTGTAATAATATGGCATCATATTAACCATCTTTGTGGCCAGTAGCATCTCATTTGTCTGGGGTCAAGTGATAATTCTTCTTAATTATCTGTGGACAGACTATGAAGCTTTTGGCATATAATGCATGCATCATCTTGAAATACTTTTTTTTAACAATTTCTAAAAGTATAAAAGAAGATAGCTGTCAGAGCATCATACAGCCTGCTTCTGATCCTGTACAGTTCCATGTCTAAAACTGTGACAAAATGACCATCTGACAGTAACTCTGTACACAGAAATGAAAAGCTATGAGTGAAGAACTCAGACACTACAAACATCTTTATATTGAACAGAGTGTGAAAAAAGTCTTCTAAGAAACAGATACAGGTTTGCTTGCCAAAAAGAAGTTTAGAACAGCCACAGTCTTATCACTAGCATTCATTAAATGTTATTGTTAAAATTAAACTCTGCCCCAAGAAACAGTCTTCTAAAATATTCTTTCAACTATCACATCCTCTCATTTGAAATTAAAAGTTTTTCTCTTTCAGACACCTGCTGTCCTCTTCAAGTACTGTAATGTGACACTCGACATGCAACTGAATTATTCTAATATAACATACACCAGATGTCATGACCACACTTCACTTTAACTTGAGAAAAATCAAAAAGAACAAAGTGTGAACTCAATTCAAGGTGTAAAGAAAAATCACAAATTCCATGGGAACATATGAGACATAAAAAAGTGTCATTAAGTACTATTACTTCTATTGTTTTTTAGTATGACCCCTGGTAAACAGGAACTGTTTCAGTCAGCTCTTGCATCTGAAATTACAGCATACCATTTGTGCTAACAATTTCTATGATCATTTCTGTGAGCTTATTTCCAAAGAGCCTCAATTGTACAGTAGCAAAGAAACACTCACTGACTGTCAAATTACAGCTTCAAGTTATTCATCTTGTGCCATTTGAGCATTTGCCCTACAGCTTTTGACAAACATTCATGTTTTTTTCTCACTTCATCAGTCTCCTCAGCTGAAATGGCAGGTGAAGTGCAAGTTAATTTAGAGCACAGTCCAACTGTTGTTTCAGACAAGAGAGGGAGCTGTGAGCTGAGGAGGAAGTTATATGTAGGGCACAGTGGGAACACCACTAATAATGCAAAAGGTTAGTGAATGGCAGCTAATAATGTGAAAGGTCAGTGGAGAGTGGCTTGATTTTTTTGGCACATTTTATTCATATTTTAGGTTTTAAAAAGCATTTCTACAAGAACAAGCTTCAGATAGTTAACATACATGTTAATTAAACACTACATTGCTGGCAAAACCTGCAATGACAGCTCTGAAAAATAAAGTCATATATTGATGGCAGACCAGATTAGACAAATTCTGCTACTTCAGCCCGAGCAGCACCAATGAGACTGGTGTTCAGGAAGCCTTAAGGAGCAAGGAAGAATGCCCTTGTGGTTACAGTATGGGCTGCAATTCAGGAAATCTACTTTTAATTCCCAACTCTCAACAAGTTCAAGGACTATATTTTGCTAGGAATTTAATACCCAGGCACTCTGGGCATCTTCATTTGGGCAGGGAGGGGGAGAGAAATAAGGGAAGCAAAGAAGAAAAGGAGTATGTGGCGCTTTCCCAGCTGGCTCATCTGTTATCAACTAATATTTATTTTCTTCCAGTAAAATAATACTAGAGATCAGTACCAAATCACCAATACTGAATTGTAATTCTGGATTTGTCCCTACGTGTCACTGCCCCTTGTGTCCAGAATATAAGCATTTTCAACTACTTGTCCTGAAAAAGCAGATGGAACTGTGCTTTTGGGACTGCTGGCTAAACAAGCAGGCCTTTTGAAGAACATGAACTGTGAGTGACAAAGCAAATGAGTTAGAACAGCTGATATTGTGCAGCAGGTTTGATCCACAGTTTATAGTGAATTTGTGAAAAGCAGTGAACTCTCCCATAAACTTCCTTGGGATTAAGTCACTGCCCTCCCACTGAGTACTTGACTCCCACAGAACATAAAATAAAGTTTACTGGTCTTAAAACAAAATTCTCAAAGGAACATCCTGGAATACAATTCACTCAGACTAGTCCCTCCCTCATCCTGAAACCAGGCAGCAACTTCAATAGAACTTCCCAGCCGCTTCCCACTTTGCAGAGAGGAAAGCACAACTCACCTACGGTCCTCAGACTTGGGGATGGGGTTGGTGCAGCGTTGGCTGTTGTACTTGGCCACATATTCACATTGCTTGAAGGGGGCAGTCTTGTCCTCCAGAACGTGTCTGATGCAGAAGGCGTAGCCGTTAAGTCGCCTCTGCTTGCACAGTTTGGGGCTATACGAGCACAAGGGCTTATTGTCAACCTCAGAGAAGTGTATGTGTTTGCCTTCATACATCACGTGACTCTATTCCTTGTGAACATCAGCTGAAAGAACCAAAATATTGAGACAAATCACATAAGGGAAGAAAAACTGCATTCAGTTCTAGGTTGTGCGTTTCATTCAAGCCGGAAAGAAGGATCCAAAACAATACCTGATTTTAAATCTTCTGTACCATGTCAATGTTAAGAGAGAGCCCCAAGGACACCACTATCTTGGAATGATGATGAACCAAGATGAAGCAGATTGTCTAAGGAAAACATCAAAAGGGTCACTGTCAGTCAGAATAAAACAGATATTCCTACAGTAAGTAAACAGGCACACGTAGTCACCAAGCCCACGGTTCAGCTAGCATCCAATAAAACAACAGCACAATAGTTTTCAATCAGTACTCACAGATCTTGGAAAACATTAAAGAAATTACTGGGGGAAAGAAAATTCTACTGCCACCACACTTAAATCACTTTAACAGAACTTCACTCATCTACCAGAAAGTGATTAGAAGCTACAAGTTAAAAAAGGTTAAGTGTCAGATTAGATCACTTGTTTTCATAAATCAAGCTGAAAGATGATTAACCCATTTGATTGCAGAGGGTTTACTTCAAGGTATCTTTGTTTACAAAACCACCACAGACTGTCTTTGCTCTGCAAAATTACTTTGCCAATCACTGCAACAACGCTTTTTTCAAGAAAAGCTGTCTTTACCACACCTGATGACCAGTCTTTCAGATTTTGTAGCTGCTTACAATTTCTGCAAGCATCCATGTGCAGTCCTACCTAAGGTCATCATGGTTATTCAAAGTTTATCCTACCACACTGTACCTATTTTAGGGAAATGCAGGCATTAATATCAGTCAGTACTCCCATGAATGCCAGAAGGGCTGAAATGCCAATTCAGCAAGAGGCTGGGGTCCTACAGTGGTTCCTACAGTTCCCAAAGCTGGTTCCTACAGTGCAAATCCATGCAGCTGTAAGGTACTTTTTCAGATCCCAAGATTATGGAGGTCTTTGGCAATAATCTTTTCAAAAAACCAAACAAAACTCCCAAACCATCCCAAAGTAGTGTCAAAAAAATTAACAGTACATATATTCTGCAGCTACTGTGATACACTAAGCTTAACCTGCAAAAGGTAGCTTTCATTCAGGAAGGTCATCCTGAAGCACTGGAATGAACTCTTTTGAGCACTCAGTTCACTTTCATATGTGCTGTACACCAAGGAAAGGAATATTCATAGAGATGATATTCAGGAAATATGTAATAAATTAGAGGCATGTGACAAATGTACAGATTACCACCTCAAAGAAATTATTTGTTCCTGAGGCCCAAAATGGCAAGAACAGAATTGCAAGGAGGAAACCTACACAGACTTTGAGGGAAAGATGCACTTTGCTCTTGTAAAGGTACAAGCCTCCACTTTCTGCTGTAAAAAAAGTACCATGAGAAAATGACAAAGCACTACGGCACTGGGGGATCTAGAAAACCAATTTTAAGTCACTAGGGCAAAACAAAACATCCTATCCCACAGAGTAAACAACATAAATCTGGCCTTCATTAGCATATATCTAGCTGTAGATGCAGAAAGACAGAAGAGTATTAAAAGACTTAAAAACACACTTAAAATTCTTGGAACAACTGTACATGCACACAAACAGCACTACCGAGCATATGAATGGAGACAGGTGCTACAGAATGTAACTACTGCAAGCAACCTGAACAATCATTTGACAACAATGGTAACTTTGTATTTCCTCTTGATACACATTTTCCCTTTCCAAGCACACAGGGAAGCGGCCAGCCCCAGAGGCAGGAGCCTCATGCTTTGCTTACACCAGAGAGCCACAACAAACACCCACAGTCACCTGGACCAATTTCAATCACCTTTCCCAACTTTTCTCAAAGGCACTATATATATACACACACATATATTGAAATCAACCAATCACTGGAGTATGGCTTTCTACAACATGTCAGTCTTAAGAACAAGAAAGTTCACTGTTGACTGTTTGCTTCAAAAAGACAGAACGGGAAAAGGGAACAATCTCTTTAGCATGTTAAGGACCGAACATTCCTTTCAGTCACCTTGGCTCAGGCAGATACTGATATATCCTCCAGTATTCCGCAACAACATGAAGGAAACACATAAATCCCATGGGAACACGATGACCATACAGGAGCTGTGGTCAGTGTTTGCATCCCATGTGCTTGAGAGATGGACTCCTCTATTACTATGGCAGCAAAAGTAATCAAATGAGTCTCAACTACTTGTGACCCACAGACACAACACTGACAGAAAGCCTTTTGCTGGAGAGTCTGCTTCTCTCAGTTTATCAAAGCTTGGATTAGGTGGCATACTGGACTGGACATAAAACTTGAAAGACCAAGTGTATCTTGCAGCTGGAGTGACCCACATGTTGCTCTCTATTTTCTTCTGGTTTATTTATCACCTTCTTTTAAACTACCACTATCATGCTTTGCAGAGTTTCTGATGGATCACTAACTTTCTCCTCTTTTGTACAACCCAGCTGTATTTCTCTTCTGAAGGTTAGCAGGCAATAGACCAAAGAAAGAGCTCCTTAGGATGGTTCCAAAGTAAACAGTGAGAAATGCATACCTTGTGTGCCTCCGTTAAGTTTCTGTAAGGAAACTGCTCCACAGTTCCCAGCCACTAATCCTAGATTTATTCTTGTGGCCCCAGTCTTATTTTTGGATTTAACTCATAATTAAGTCTTATTTTTGCATTTTACTTGACTGTGTCAAGGCAGGCACAGTATTTCACTTCTCACTTGTCTGAGAGATACAGGGCACAAGAGCAATGCCATTTGAAACACTCACACAAAAATACTGACAATAATCCCCAGGGAAACCAACGAGCATGAACGTGAGTTTTTGGGTCTATACATACACTAAAAGAAGCTCATGCAAAAACAGCCATGTTAAAAATCCTGACAGTAATCAATTACTCCAAGTACAGTGCAAGGAACAAGAAAGCCAACAAATATTGTAGCCAACCAATGTTATAGTAAAAAAACAACACAGCAATTTTCTCAAACTTGTAATTATATCTTTATTGGTAAATTCTTAAACAGACTCCCCAAAAGACATGTCACTATGTGGATACATTGCCAGGAACAGAGACTGAAGTTGGACTTAATCTAAGAAGAGCTTTTTTTTTTACTTCCATGGCATACCATATAAGAGAGAGTGTGTGTGTGTATAAATATATATATAAAAATAGCGAAGATACTTAAATCTCTTCATTCTGATTTCATCTAATGCAGTGTTTTGTTTTTAATAATTTACAGGAGTTCTTATCAGAGCTTTTTGCTGCTACGTAAAAAGTAGCACAAGCATGGAATAGGCACATGTCACTGAACTGAGGAGAACTGAAACTACACTTAGCTAAATAGTGGGTGGGGGAGAAATTATTTTTGTCCCACAGGATTCAGTAAGAGATGACGGAAACATGGACTTCCCCTGGAAAAAGCAAATGCTTAAGCAGCTGTACTTCACTATAAAAATATCAGAATACAAAACTTTCTGGAAGCTGTTTTCGGTTTTGCATTTATACTCTACATTGAAGATGTAGGAAGGTTCAACGGGAAAAAAAAAATTATGCCTGCATGTGCTCAAACTAACTTTAGCCACAACCCGTGAATGAGAAACCAGAAGCTGCTTCTTGAGGAACCTAGATTTTCCTTAAACAACTGATTCTAAATAAAAGATTCTGAGCTACTTAGAAACAACAGGGCAAAGAACAGAAGGGAATCCAAAAACGTGTGCCCTTGCGAAATAAAAAAACATGGTAGGGAATAAGGTAAATACAGAGCAGCCATACGAGATCACAAAACATCGCAGCTAGAGGTACCTGATGAAGTCAGTAAGAGATTGACTCAAAACATATCAAAGAAATATTTCTTCATTTTTACTATTCACAGGCAGTGAACTGCTGGAGCTTGCAGTCACATGAGACTATGGAAGCAGACACTACCATCAGGTTCAAAAAGGCAATAGAAAAGTTCATGGACAATGGGGACATAAGTGATGCACTCTCTAGCATGACCATTAAAACAAATATGGGTGGTGGAGGAGTAAGAGAAGAAAGCACAAGGAAAGTGTCTGGGCTTTAAAGCCCTTCCTAAGTAGCATCACTAATTCCTACGGCCCTAAACAGAACATTCAATTGGATCCAAAGTAATCTGACCCAGCAGGGTATTTTTCACATTCTTATAAGTTTATCACTAATATTTGTAACTTCATAACACGTTCACTTCTCCCTTTGTCCCATTTTTTATTCTTGAGCAGCTGACTGCAAGAAAATCTCCTCCCTCTGGCTAAAGTCCTATCTGGAAGTGTGAAGAAGAGTAACAAACTTAGCACCCCAGCAAGGCTTTATAGCAAGGACAGGCAGGACACAGAGCAAAGTCACACTCTGAGACATCAGCACTTAAGAGCAGAGCTATTTGTCCTGCTGAGTGCAGCCACTGGTTGTCCATAAGATAACTGAAGGTGGTTTGCACAGTGACTGCAAAAAGAGAAATGGAAGATTTCAATACACACAGGAACACACCTGTCCAACTGCCAACACCTACTATCATCCTCTGGAAGAAGCCAGCTTCCAACTTGCTTTTAGCACTGGCTTTGCAGTGCAGGCATAATCAGCTCCCTTGCAGTGCACATCAGCTCCAAAGACAACACAGCTGTAGCTCTGCACTCCACACACTTTCGTCCAAAAGAGTTAAACACTCCTTCAGAGAGGCTGGAAAACAGTGTAGCAGCAAACTTTGGAGGATGAGCTTTAATACAACCATACCCAAGTAGCAGCATTATGTCATACAGAAATCTGGTACCTGACACTGTGAGTAATCTACAGGGAAGGCAATGGCTTACTCACTAACAGAAAACCCAAAGCACCAGAGCCTCAAAACTCAGATCGTTAATTTTGCACAAATGCTGTGCTGAAAATATTAGAGTATTTTAAATCATGTGGGTTGAAACATTCTTAAACATATGCTCAGAACTTGACATTCAATGTACGTAAGACCCTTTTAGGCAATGGAATCCCCAAATGCATTGTAAATTGCAAGGCAATTACATGCTGGTGGTTAAAAGATGTATAATTAAGAGGACTGAGCTCAGAGCTTCACACACTGCATCCAAACAAAATCCACAACTACAGAGGTCTTTACTGTGTTGTTTGCATTTGCTAATACTAGCCTAAATTTCATGTTAAATTGCTTGGTGTGCTCATGCATGACATCTCAAAGACAGGGTACAATCACCTCTATAGGTTCCCAAAACCATCAGCTTGGAGCCAGAAGTAGAACATGGATCTACAAGAGTCTCAGCTTCTCCACAAGCACAAATAACATAAATAGTAGTTTTGTCATTTCCTCTTGACCAAGAAAGAACAAGTGCCTGTCACTGTCAGACCCATTTCCTGAAACTGAGCAAGCACACGGAGTGCAAGATGTTTGGAAACATGGAATTTCATCCACTCCAAGATGAACAGAAGCCACAAAGTTCAAGACAAAAAGACAGGCATTTAAAGCTATTTTATAGCAAAACTTTTCAATTGGTGTTAGTAAGAAGTATACTTCTAAGTATGAATCTAAAACATTCATTTTCTCTATTTCATAGCAAGTAATACCTCTATTTGAAATGTTTTGTTCTATCAAGAGAAGCCGTACTACATCTAATTGTGATCAACATCAACACCACAAAGTTGTAACTTCTGTCCCTGTGCTGTGATCTAACCATAAGTTTGGATTAGTTCTAGTCTTTTAACAGCTCCATTCTCTACTACACTCAGCTAGCAAACCAAGAATGCTGTAATTGTGAAAACAAGAGTCTTTTTGTCAGTAAAAGCACTCAAATTGAGACAGAGGACACTGGGAAGCAACGCACATCAGCTACAAGAGTTCCTGTACAGAACGCTTTCATTAACTAGAGTACAGTCCTTACTCAGGAAGGCCTCTGAAGTGCAGGTACTGCAACACACATGCAGGTACCCTGACAGATCAAGGCATTCAACATGCTAAGATCTTACAAGATATTTTTAGTTACCACCTGGAATCGTATTTTGGACTACTTTTTTTCATATGTTAAGATGTACCTGGGAAGAAAGAAGCAATATTGCCCTCATTCTGCCTTTTTAGAAAGCTTATTACTTCAGTTCTGGCAAAAGGCAGTTTACATTGCATAAGGATGTCCAATATATTAACAGAAAAGCAGCAGAATGTTTTAGGCAACACTGGGAAAACAGATTATGCTTTAGAATATAACACAATAAATACAGAATTAAACTTAAACATTATTCCTAATAATAGCAACAGCTGCAGAACTTACAGACTTGTAACTGGTTACAATCAAGAGCAGAAAACATAACTATGAGGAGGAAAATAAGAAGTCTTTGCTCACAAACTGAACAGGTTGTTTTTGTTTTCCTACACCACATGAACTTAAACAGGAATTTTCATTTCAGCTGGTTCACTCATCTGTACCTCATAGTATCTTAGAGAAAACCTGACAAAGATAGCCCAAACCCTAAAAAACAACAAACATTTAAGACTCTATGGATTTTAGAAACTTCAGAGGATTTGTAAAGAAGAAAGAACTTACATAGGAAAATTTGTAACTACTGTTAGTTCCTACTAACTAAGAGTACGTTCCTACAGATTTCAAAAACTAATTTCCTAAACATGGCTATTGCTGACCTAAGGTTCAAGATGAGCTCTGTATCTTGAAAGTTTTTTGAACAAGGATTTCTCTATTTGAGCAGAAGGTCTCCAGGCCCCAGTCCTGCTATCACATCCTCACAGGGAGGTTGTCACGCATGGTTATTTCAATGTAGTTATAAACAGGCCTGGGTTTTGCCAGGATGAGCAGGGCTGCAAAGAGCAGCCTTCAGATACAGCAACAAATGGACCCTTTATGACATTGCAACACAGCAGAAATGTACTTTAGAAACATCTCAAAATACCAAAAGCAATATCCTGAGATAAAGTAGAAATTAAACATACCATAACACACCTTGCATCTGTACTTGGGAAAAAAAAATAAGTCCAAGTCTTTTATTTATTCAAATAACACATAGCCTGCCTGTCCAGATGAGGCTAAACAAAATACCTTTGTCTTATTTTTAGTCCCAATACTACAAAGACAAATAAACTTATTTTCTCACAATACAATATCATTCTTGCTTCAGCAGGAATATTCAGTAAATAAACCAATAGAGCTCCTCACAGAGGAGCTTTTCAGCAGGTATAAGCTATTGGAGTTTCAGTGTGGTCCTAAAATAAATTTGTACCTCCTGATGATTTACCAGACTATGAGAACACAGTACACACAGTTCTGTAGGACCAGGTCCTACACACAAATTCAATCACTCATCACAAAAATACTGAACAACAAAATGACCCCCAGTACATAAATTTAGTGTTGCTTCCAGTAAATAATTTAGCTTTACAATTAATAAAACTTGTGTGATCTTTGTATGGACTACAAACAGTTCATGCAAAAGGACGAATGTCACCAGTTTGTAAGTGACAGCTTCCCGCAAAACACGAGCTCTCCAGTTCAGCCATCAGCAGTGGTACCTGGTGGGTATGGCCTGAGCGTGGAACACTGCCACTACAGGTGAGCCCATAGGGGAGGGCACCTGTCTACAGGGGAACAGTGCATTGCCCTAATTTTGTCAATTTTATTTTTAAGTCTCCCAACCCTTAAAAACTAAAACGCCTTAAAGTAAACCTGCATTGCACATTGTTGAGTAACTAAGTTAGAACCAAGTCTATGTATTTTAATCAGATGGTATAATATAAGGCTTTAAGGTGTCACTGTCACTTCTAAAATTCATTTGAGGTTACTTGTACAAAGCCATTATAGTTCTGACCTAAAAGACACATTAAGGAATATCTGACCGAAACGTGCCACCTCCCGCATTAGAAACCGGAGCTATTTCACCTGTGCGGGGTGAAGTGCGATGGTGGGTCTTCCAGTGCACTCACTTCACAACTACCAGACGTTCTTTTCCCTGAAAAAAAGGATCCTTTCATTTTCAATCCTGGGGGGCAGCAGCACCTTACAGAGACCCCCCAGCCTAGCGGGACCCCAGCCCACAGGGACATGAGAGGGGGCCAGACACAGCCCTTGCCGTGTAGGGGCTACCGGAGCGCTGCCCTCCCCGGGCTGCGGTGCCAGTGGCTGTGGCTCCTGTCCCGCTAACGGGTCCCGGGACAGCGGGGTGGCCGAGGGACCCCGGCCCGGCCCCGGCAGGGCTCAGGCAGCCGCCGGCCCCGGCATGTGCCCGGCACCGAAGGTGCTGCCCGGGCAGCCCCTACCCCTGCCCCTGGTTCCGTGCTCGGGGGCTGGCCCGGGGCCCCACGTGCCGGCAGCTTAGGGGGCGGGGGGGACACTCCGAGGGCTTCCCCGCACCCCCAAAACCGCCCCCCGCTACCTCCCAAAAAGTTGTGCGGCGAATCCAGCCGCCGCCGGCCCGGCCGAAGGGGGTCACCGACGGGGGGGAAAGGGGGTACGGGACGGGCGGGGGGGAACCTGCGGCCGCATTCCGAGGTGCCCTCGCCCCGCCGGCACCGTCCCCACGGCCGCGGGCGGGGGGTGGCCGGCGGCGCCGGTGGGGGGATAAAGCACCCCAAAAACGCTGCGAAACTTTCCAGGCCGCGGCCGGCGCAGCCCCGCGGGACCGGCACCGCCTCCACCGCGGCGGCCCCACACCGGGCTGGGGGAGGGGGTGCCCCCCCACCCCGGCACCACTTATTAAAAGTCATTTCGCCAAATTAATGCCGCCCCCGTCCCCCCGTCCCGCGGCCCTGTCGCCCCGCGCGGGGGGCGGGGGGGCTTGAGGGGGGGGGTGGGGGAAGAGCGGCCCCAACCGCGGCGCCCCCTCCGCTTCCCCCCAGCCGCCCGGCCCGGGCGGCAGCGGGGCTCGGCCCGCTCTGGGCCCGGGGCCCGGCGCGGGGGGCCCGGCGGGGCGGGGAACGGAGCGGCCGGGCCGCGCCGCGCCGCGGCCTAGCGCCCCCCCGCCCCCGTTCTCCCCCGCCGCCCTTCACCTCCCGGGCAAAGGCGCCGCGCCCGACCCTCCCGCTGTGCCCCGGCGGCCGTCTCACCCCCCTCCGGCGCTCCTCCCGGCGCCCGAAAGCTTCAAAAACCCCCCTGGCTCCCCGCACCCCCTACTGCGGCCTACGCCGCTCCGACCGATCCCCGGCCTCGAGTAGCCCGCCTCCCCGCCCGCCCTGCACCCTCCGCACCGCCTGCCGCGCTACGCGAGCCCGGGGATGCAGGCCGGGCCTGGCTTACCTTTCCAGCTGCTTTTTTTTCCCTCCTCTCTCTCCTCTCCCCCCTTTCCCTCTGTTGGGCTGACAGATCAGAGTTTCCTCCCCAGCAGAGGGACTGGGAATGTGCTCGGGCTCTGTGCTGAGGAGCTGCTGCCCCCCTGTCTCTGAGAAGATCCTGCTTTTTGTGAGGAGGAAGCTTTGGGGGCTCTTTTATTATTTTAAAACTACAAAGTGCTCAGAGGGTAGGTGATTATTAAGGGGAATCCCTGAATATATTCTCCAGCAAAGAAGGCAGGGCTGCTGGGGCTGCTCAAGAAGAGAGCCAGCAGCCTCCTATAGCACCACTACAGGCACTGAGAGGACATAACATCAGAGAGCGGCTCCTCTGCCCTCCAAAACAACAACTTTCCTACCATCTTGGAGGTAGTAGCGAGGGAGAGAGGGAGGGGGAAAAAAAGTACAGAAGGTTTTTATAAAGTGTCAGTTTGGAGGAGGGAGAGAAATGGCCAAAACAAAATATTTTATCGTGTGTGTGACTTTTTTTTTTTTTAATAAAAATAAAATACAAAGGCTCGTCGCTGAAGAATTTTTTTTTTTAATAATCTGTAAAGATCAACTCTCTGGAAAAAAAAATTAAAGGAGGTATGGTAAAATATTTTTAGTTACTTCGTTGTTCTTAAAGCTATGTAATTTTTTTCTGTATTTTAATGTTTTTAACTTTTTTGTCATTTTGTGATGGTTCTAAAAATTAGTGTGTAATTGTGAAAGTTTGTGTAACTTTTTTTTGGTATTCTTAGTCTTAGTAAACAGCTGAGATTGATGTCGGATAGTTTGGTGTAATTGTAACATAACGTCCTTCTCTCTCTCAAGGCATTGTAAATAAAATTGGATATGCAGGTATGAAAAGACCCATATTTTTTAATTTTTACTTTTATTTCTTTCTAGATTAGGCTACGTAGAGAAACAATGAGGGATTTAATGTGAGTGAGAGGAACCTGTTATAGATATCTGAGGAATTGTGCTGTCATAAATTTAGCATTGTCTGCCCTTCAGGATGGGATGTGAAAAAACAGAACTCATAGCAAGAAATTTGGGGGCAACAGTTGAGTTTTGTTCTTAATATTTTCAAAGCATTTTGCACCCTTCTAAAAACCTGTTTCAGTTCTTTCTAAGTTACTGTTTTGATTTAGGGGCTTTGTTCTTCATATTTATGAATATTATTCCTAACTTATAGTTGAGAAATGCTATAAATTTATACTACAGTGTCTTGTAATATAAATTAATATTACTTTTCTTTGTTGCACATTCTTTTATTAGATTGTAAAAAATATATTAAATGCTGTCAAAACAGTGTCAGATGCTGTGGTGTATCTGTAGGTGAAGACACTGATCACTGTATTCAGCAGATCTGTGCTAATGTTTCTTGAAGTAGTATTATGCACAGCCCTATTCAGAGATGAACTGCAAAGATGCCTTTTTATTTGTCCCGAAGGAAGAGGAAATAATTAGGAAACTAATGAGCTATACGTTATGTTTTTTCCATTATAAAAATTATTCAGGTGGTATAGACTAATTGAACTGCAGTCAGACTAAGGTCATAAGGATGAAGTACTGAATTACTTAGTATATTATCACCCTCCTCCTCTCCCCTGCCAAATCTGACATATATTGGTTTAGTTCAGTTCTTGTAATCTAAAAAAAAATTCCCATATTTTAGGTACATCCGCATTTCAAAACATACTTTGAGTTTGCCCAGCCTGCATGGTGAGTGTAGCTTGTGTGTTCATAGTGGGTTTTTCATTTAGATAAATAGGTTTCAATTAAAGTACAATTAAAAGTCAGCTGGTCTTTGTGTCACACTGTTTTTGTTTAGCAGAGTTTTTTAGATTATTCTTAGTCTATCTAGCTCATTTTTAATAATCTGGAGTGTTGCATTCAATGGAATCATTGCATGGGAGGTGTTTTTCTGTTATTTGATTTTTTTTCTGTTTTTCAGTTATTAATCTGTCAAATAGATAGTTCTGCTGATGTTAGAAAACAACAACAACAAAAAAACCCAAATATGTTGCTCCCATATTGTATCCCAAAAGAGTTTGTATTTTGTATAGAAGTAGTGCAATAATTGGGGTTCTTCATAATTTTACCAGTCATTATTATATGCTTTGGAGCATGAAGTATGATTATTCTCTTTGTAAGCTGTTTCAGCAAAAACTACTTTTATATCCCATACCTAGAATTCATTACACAATGATGGGGATTACAAACATTGGTCAGGTATAGGATGATTGAAAAACCGCAAACCCTTTGAAATATTGCAAATAAATTATCTTAATTAATTTGGGAATTCAACAAATGCAGCATAAACTAGTATTTCCTTTTATTCTATTCTAAATAGATAGATAAAGGGCCAAATTCTCAGACCCCACTTTTGCAGATGCTTGCAGGCCTTACTAACACTTGCTAATTCAGAAGTGCCTGAAGGATCACTGTAGTTCCTGGCATAAAACTCTTCCCAAATCGGTAGGATTTTGCTCAAGTACTAAATTTAAGTTTCTGTACAAAGTGATTTCTTGTATTAACCATTGTGTTAAACAAGAGAATTGCTACTTTCAACTTAATTCAGTAGTTCAGTATAGTTCAACTACAGTTCAGGTTCTCTTAATTGGAACTATTTAGATGGTTTTTGTGTTTTAGGAAGAGAGGCATACCATGAACAACTAATCTATGCCACATCTCTCTGTGGTACCCTTAAGAATATCTGTACAGCACACTTAGTATCTTGGAACTGTATTTTTTAAATGGGATGCAGGTAATTCAACATTATAGAGAAATAGCTATGAATGCACTTGAGAAGCTGAGCACAGAAACAATATTAAACCTTTTCCTAGGCTTGTGTGTTTGACTTTGCAGACACTGACTTTAATCAGATTACTTGCCTGCCTAAATTTAAACATGCATCATGACAGCATTACACATTTTGGTGACATCCAAAGATCTATCTGATGTGTTTTAATTGTGAAGCCAGAAGCTTAATGCCAAGCAAAATGAGAAACATTTTGAATCTGGAAGTTTGGAATAGGAAAACTTGAAATGGAATACTTCTGGTATCTTGTACAAAAAAAATTAATTCAATAAATTAATTCAGTCTTTTTAAGGAGGAGGAAGTAAAGAGGAAAAATTTGCCAGATCTTGGTTGTGTGGACTATTATGTAATCATTCAACAGAGAAATTAAAAATTTGTACTTCATGGATGGATAAATTTATTTAACAAAACTTTATTTACCTGAGAGTAATTTGCTTTTCACTAACTTGCTAAGAGATACAAATATTATTTTAATTTGCTGAAAATAAAATGTTACATGGTAAGGAGCTAAAGGAGCAGTCTGCTAGCTTTAGTAATGTAGAGTGAATTTTTTAAATATTTGCTTATCTTTATGGACAAGACTCTTAGGCTGGGACATAGATTATTTTGATGGGTAGCAGTGCTCTGAAATTACACTGGAGGACAAATTGGACACTGAAACTTCTGTACAAGGACAATGTGTAAACCCCAAGCACAAAAGGTCCCCTCTACAACATTCAGAATTGTATTCTGGAACTTCCATTCTTCAGAACGGGTCTGTCTGCCTTGATTTAAATCAGCCTCATCCCTGGACCAACTGCTCCATCCAGGAAACTTATTGTACACTTGAGCACAGAGTGGTCAGAGAACATTAATGTTCCATAAATCACATGTTCTGGCTAATGAGGCATTCTGTGCTGATGTGTCTCACTTGTGTTAGTAGTGAGACAGGGCGGTGATGCAGTGAATAAGCTTTGTGAGTCTAATAAAGCAATGAAATAGGTGCTTTAGCTTGTACACCACTTACTGGAGGAGAGTGCATCAAGAAATGAACCTTGATTCTCTCCCAAGGTCGTTCACACCCCGAGTGCAGACCTCAAGAATTTCTGGAGCATGCCTTAGACTCTGTGCATGTGATGAAGACTCTCAGGTTCTCCACAAATAGTGTTACAATGTCAGCATCTTTGTATTATTTCTTGAAAGACATTGTACTGAGGAAACAGTTCCAAGGTCTTCAAATGCTTGCTAAAGGGATTAGCAATTTATTTAAAATGCAAGTGAATGTTGTGAAGGGGAAGAACAACTCTAAGTGTATAGCTGTTAATTCAAGATTTTCTTATCTGAAGAGCCACATTTGTATAGAAGATCTTGTCTTTAGGCATTTAAAGACTGAAAAGGGTGAGAAATTAAATAAAACCCAAAGTTATGATACACTCTTCTAAGCAATGTCTTGAGCAGCTGTGATGTAGTATTAGTTTGTGTAATAGTGGCAAGTTCTGGAGTCAAGCTAACCATTAAACCCCAACATATTAACATTTTTGAAAAATGTTTATTCTTATTTTTCACCAATTCTTTAAGATGAAAATTTTATAGCAATGGTTGTCTCTTGCGTATCTGGGTTTCAGTTACTCTGCTGCTGTTGTACGTATTTGATAACCAGCATGCTCTTTGCCACTTTTCCAAACCACAGAGTCCTTATGTTAAAAACACTGCCTATGATCTGAGGATTTTTCTCTAGGAAATATACCCAAGTTATGCCATAAATTGAACTTCTTACACCAGCTGCTAAACTCCTTCAAACCCGTGCTTTAGTGCACTCCTGTGTGGCAGATAGCACAGCTGAAACTATAAGACAAGTCCTATATACAACAGAGTGACTTTGCTTTACTTAGTTTAAAGCCCCAAATGCTAGCAAAGCAACATGATGTACACATGACTAACCTTGTTTTCCTGAGTGTTAGGAGCTTCATTAAAGCTTTTTTCAGCAATGGGAATTTTCCTGTGGGTTTCAGTAGGAGTATAGCTGAAGAAGTATTTAACCAATTGGGAACAGATGTATGCTAGCTATTACATGATAATATAATTAATTGATAGTGAACTGTACTGAAAATAGTAATTAACTAAGACTTCACTAATCTGTTCTTCATTATCAATGTGTATTTTAATCTGCATTAAATAAATGGTATTGTCTTCCTAAAGCTCAGCAAAGACAAAACAGTAAGACTGTTAATTGTGGGAAGGTTGTCCAGGGTATGTTGGGCATCTGTGGAGACCTCTTTAAATAGAGGACAAATTAATGGAATAAGCTGTCCCAGCAGAATGCTGTAATACCATCCCATTTTACTGGGAAGCCCTTCGTTAATTCAAAGTATACTATTGTATTTTTACTATCTGCTTCTGTCTATGGATATTTCATTAACAGTAATTGTAGTGGTTAAGAAGCTCCACACTTTGTCAGCAGTCCTCTCTGCTATTAGTCCAGCCTTATTTATTTACATTCAGGTTGCAGAGAGTCTTGGTCACCACTGCAGGATGGAAAGGTGAGAATTCCCGCTCTGGACCAATCAACGGTCTCTTAAGTCTTCTGAGAGTAGCTTCCAACAAAGGTGTGAAATATCC